GCATAGACGCCCAGGCGCCGACCTAAGCCTGAAGGAGTGCTTACGCTTGCTGTTTTAAGGCTCGGGCTCTGGGAATAGGTACCCGGAAGCTGGGCGTCATAAGGGCACCATTAGCGGCGTCGAGAGCGACTCTGAAAACGCAAAGACGCCCAGGAGCGCCGAATTTCCGGGCGCCTCGGATCTTTCGCTGGCGTCCAGCGCCCACCGCAACCTCGCCGGCACTGACGCGCGACAGGACAGCCCTACTTGCGAAGCACGTCAGAGGTGTTGGCCGAATATTGATCTGACAAAGAATGCCATGCTAAGCGGCACTTGAACCTGACCAGGACCGGATTTTTGCCAGATGCGAACTTGACAGGGGCGTGCTCTTGATTGCTAGGCTTTATTGTTCGCCTGCTTCTGGGTCCGAAGTATTTCATCCGATCATTCCAGAACTCTGCAGTTTCTGGCATATTTTGTAGCAGAAAATTCGTCCGCGGCTGCTTCGCGAACCCAGACTTCCACATATCCACACATATATTACAGCCTACTGTAGGTATGCACAGACGCTTCGCGACTTATGGCTTGTTGGCGACACGACACCCTCTACTGGCATGGACACCTCTTTATACTTCAGATACAACAACCCATACCTGAAACGTGATGCTTGAACGCGACAAGATCCCTCCCCACAGACCGTTGGTGCCGGAGTGTAGTCTGTACTTCGTATCGCCTGCCTTCTATTCCGCCCGGCCGCTCCAGCGGGTTCGAGAAGGCGGGGCGGGCGCCTCCCCCCAACCGCTACTAAGCTCCAATAAGCTTACTGAGCTCGTGCCTCCACGCCTATCAGGCTGTTTCTGTTCAGCCACCGCCTCCTTGTTGTGCGCCGAGGGCCAGCTGGACCAGTTAAAAGGTAGCTGAAAGGCCTTGGAATACGATGTTGACGTCGCATCCATGGACTTTTGATTACCCAGGCTCTCCAGGCTCGTCACATCGTGAGATCTTCGAGCAAACTGCATCTGGGGATCCCACAGTCGTTCACCCCGCTGATCCCCGCTGAGCTGGCCAAAGCGGTATATGGTCCAGGTTTGTGCAATCGCTAATTCATACCATGTTGCCACTCGCTTCGGACAAAGCTCCTTTTCCAGGCCGTGCGGGTTGGCATCCGGCGCACAACCTCTCACCCACTCCGCTTGGCGCACTGTCGCCTCTGAAGCTACAAGAAGACCCCGCGGCCCACCTCACGCGATAATGTCATGATCTTCTCTCGAATGTGTCTGTCCTTCTGCGACATTGCTCAAACTAGCCTCAGTTGAGCTCCGCGCGAGATTGAATCCCTCCACAATGCGTTTCAATATTGACGGGTCCAGTAAATATCCCTGGCAGCAATGCTCCATCTCAGGTTGCTAACCAATCACTAGATGAAAAGGCCCAGCATGCCTACAATGACTCGAATGGCATCGGCGAGGGTCAGTTGGGCTATGACCCGGACCTGGCGCATCCCGCTGCAGGCTACAGAGATGGCGAGACAGCAGTACTCCCAGCAGGCGTGACTGAACGACGGCTGCTTACCAAGGTCGATCTGAGAATCATCCCCGTTCTCTCGGTCATGTATCTGTTGGCCTTCCTCGATAGAACAAACGTCGCCAACGCCGCCGTCTTCGGTCTCCAGAAGGATCTTGGCCTGAGCAGCACCCAGTATAGCACGTGTTTGACCATCTTTTTCGTCCCGTACGTGGTCTTCGAAATCCCCTCCAACATCATCCTCAAAAGACTCAAACCCCACGTCTGGCTTTCCATCTGCATGTTTGGATTTGGTTTGGTCACCATCTGCCAGGGTCTTGTGCAAGGATATGGCGGGTTCCTTACAACCAGATTCTTTCTTGGGCTGTTCGAAACTGGCATGTTTCCAGGTATGTGTGTTCGCCGATAGCCAAAATCACGGCTCTGACACGAATCAGGCGCGTTCTACCTTATCGGCATGTGGTACAAGCGACAAGAGGCACAGAAAAGGTACACCTTCTTCTTCGCCAGCACAACACTGGCTGGGGCTTTCGGCGGTCTCCTTGCTTCGGCCATCGGGAAAATGGACGGCATGGAAGGCTACCTTGGCTGGAGATGGGTCTTCATTCTGGAGGGCTGTCTGACCTGCTTCGTCTCGTTCTTCTGGTACTTCGCCATCCCCGACTTCCCAGAGGATGCCAAGTGGGTGACCGAGCCTGAGCGGGAATACATCAAAGCCAGACTTCGAGACGACCAGGGGAAATCCGCTCTTGAGCGACGCATCACCTTCGCAGATGTGGTCAACTGCTTCAAAGACTACAAGATCCTCGTGGGAGGTTTCATGTACTTTGGCCTGATCGTACCTGGTAAGCGGATTGGTCCGCTCCCTCTCATCACGAAGCTATACTAACCTTGGCCAGCTTACGGCTACGCCTATTTTGCGCCGACCATCATCAAGACTTATGGCTACAGCCCCATCCAGACACAGCTGCATTCCGTGCCTCCCTGGGCCGCCGCGTTCGGCTGGAGCATGCTCACTGCCGCCTTATCCGATCGCTTCCGTCACCGATTCTTTTTTGTGATACTCAACATCTGCATTGCGATTGCGGGCTTCGCGATCCTCATGGTCGTGCACCACAACAACCATGTGCAGTATGGTGCGCTCTTCATGATCACTTCCGGAACATACAGCGCCATGCCGGTAATCGTCTGCTGGTTCTCCATGAACCTCGGTGGCCATCATCGTCGAGCAGTGGGTACGGCGTGGCAAATCGGGTTTGGCAACATTGGCGGAATCATTGCCAGCTACAGTTTCTCAGCCTCCGACGCGACGAGTTTCTTCCACAAGGGTTACAGTATCTGCTTGTCGTTCATCTGCCTGAGCGCGGCAACCAGTATCCTTTATTTCTTCGCCTGTCTGAGTCAAAACCGACAGCGCGAGAAAAATCATGATGTTGGACTGACGGACTATGAGAAGACCGAGCTGGGTGACATGAATCCCGACTATCGCTACATGCTCTAGCGAGCCACCAGTATCGATGGGATCCAGCCCCTTATAGTGAGGACATGAGGAAAGAATAGTGATATGCCATGATGTCGTCGCCTTCCTGCAGCGTCAAGAGGACACCACACGAATCCAAAAGAGACCGAGTCAAGTGTCGCTCGTGTCGGTGGGCGGAATAGCAAGAATCTCATAGCTCGAATTGCTTGGGTTAATCTAATACCGCAGCGCAGCCGGATAGTGCCTCTTCACCTTCCTAGCTCCCCCATCCTCAGCCCTATTTCGCCCGACAAGGCTGCAGCAGCACAATGCTGAGGCCAGCCCAGCATGCTGAGCGACTGGGATCGCGGCGAGAAGCCGAGGCGATGCCAAAGCGCAATCATTACCCGATCGTAATTCACAGTAATAAGCCAATCATATTCCAACGCCTCTCGGCTGACTTCGACTTCAGCTCGACTCAATTCCGAGCTCTTTCCCTCCACTGTCCAGCCAGCCATTGTATGTATTCTCTATAGCCTGATGTGCCAGGAAAGGTGTTCGCCGTCTGCGTTTGCGATTGCGTGCTATGCAATAGCAAAGATGACTGCGCAGTGCACCAGAGCTATGGATCTCTCGGCGAGGGTGGGCAGCTTTTGACACGGTGGACTTGAGCGAGAACGAAAGTTTTTATCACTCTTGGGGTGGACGCGATAAATATTCAGTCCGCAGGAATGACCCAACTACGTCCACGATGCTGTCCAGGTGACAGTGGCATATCAATGCTCAGGACCGCCATTGTATCGCCACGTCCCACCCACGGATCGATACTCGCAAGTCAGTTGATACATGAGCTTATGCGATTGGAAACGCATCGGTCGCAACACTGATGTTTGTTTCCCTGGTTGTCCGCTGATCAAGAGTATGTACATTTACGTGGTAACATCTTGCATAGGATCCTTTGCAGAGACCGATCCCTTTGCGCGAATATGTCAAGTCCCTGGTTGCAGCGGCCCGAAGTCCTCGCAGTTGACGTATTCTCGAGCAATAAGGTCTCAGAACTGTCCGAGAATCAATGTTATCGCGGTCGACATGATCTCCGCAATCGGTTTGACTGGCCGTTCGACAATATGCCACCAAAGATGGAAGAAGCCCTGCACGGATACAACTCATAACGTGCAGGCCAACGCTGACGAGGAGGCAGGAGAAGCTTATAAGAAACAGCATTCTACCCCTGAGACGCGCTACAAGGCAAACAGGTGGTGAACTCATACCTTAGTCCGCCACGACTGCGCAATCCAGCCAGCTAGCTTTCTTAAGTCTACAGTGGTTACCTCGAGGCTCTGCGGCCCAAAGGTCACGTCAAGTGCCGCCCCGGGTCTTTATTACATGGAATCGGACAACATCGTCGCTACGTTAGGCATGCCGTGCGAAGTTGCTGCTGTTGACTTTCTCGTGTGGTCCATCACAGCTTACACTTGACTGAGTCAGGTACTGTCGAGTTGAGGGGTTGTCTATGATTCAGGATGGAGCTTTGTGGTGTGTCACAGAGGCAAATGTCCTTCCCTCGGACAGGTCCGGTATCTGATACGAGCATGTATTGCCGCAGAAGACTCCCCTCAGCAGGAGTAGTCATTGCTATAGAGACCACGATGACCACGATGAATCTCTCCAGTGTATACTCCCATTTATGCAGGTCCGATCGTAGGAAAGTGTGGCTCCCTTCAATTTGATGTGGCGTGTCCTCCTCCGTCCATTTTATATATCCAATGCTCAAGACCCAAAAATCCCCGGCCATTCTACTGCATGTGAGATAGATCGACGGCCCTACCGCTACTGTACTCGTGCGGCGGCTCAGACACCTTTCCGCAGGCGATAGCGACGCTCGACTGCACCAGCAGACAGGGACAGCACGCGTCTTAAAATCTCCGTGGCCCGCCATCAACCACACTGCAAGTGTCATTCAGCACTCCATGCTCCCAACCAATCCCCCATCCTCGCTCAGCCAGTGCCCAATCACGCACCACTCACGGCTCACAGCTCACAATTCATCCTTCTTCACCCCCTTGATGCCCATCAACTCCGTCTCAAACACCAACGTGCTGCCCCCGGGAATGGGACCCACGCCTCGATCCCCGTACCCCAACTCCGGCGCGATCGTCAACTTTCTCTTCTCCCCAATGCACATGTCGAGTAGGCCTTCGTCCCACCTATGTAGATTGAAGTTAGCCGCAGAGTCAGAATCAGGACGAACACCGCAGAATTGGTTGCTTCACATCGCCCCACTCACCCTTTGATGACCCGTCCGGCGCCCAGCTCGAACCCCAAAGGCGATCCCCGCCCGTAGCTGGAGTCGAACTCCTTGCCCGTCGATTGTAACGTGCCTCGGTAGTGCACGTCGATCTTGTCGCCCTTGTGCGTCTTGCGCGTGCAGCTGATGTCTGGGGTCTGGTACTCGATCTCTAGACCGTTGGGGAGGGAGGTCGCGAGGGGAATCAGCGCGAGGAGGACGGTGGTGAGGAGTTTCATGGTGGTAGGGTGCGTGCGGTATGGAGTGCGTTCGATTCCCTTACGGCGGGACGGGTACGCAGGGCAGGGCAGGAGGCGCACCAGTAAAGTAGGGCTGCTGCAGTGCTGCAGTGCTGAGTTGAAGTCGTATGCAGCTGGGTAGAACAGAGCAGATCAGAAGGAAGTGGGAGGAACGATGGGTTCAAGAGACGGCGATTGAGGATATGATATGTCTCTACAGCAGAGTACAAGTAGGTACTCGTCCGGAGTACATGCACCGTATTGTAAGTTGCTCGTAGCTGTGTCTGTGTGTGCGGTGAGTGTACGGTCGTGGTGGAGAAATGATGCGGAGAGCTGGTGCGTGTGCTCCCCCGGAGTACGGAGTTCTCGTATTCTTACCAGACGATCTCGAGCACTGTTCTCGTTCACGGGCACGACGCTGCGCGAGTTCATGCGCGCTTGGACCGTGACAGAGACCTCATCAAATGACAGCCAGAAGAAGAGGGATGCCCCTAGAGTCGAGGGTAGGGGGCTTTTCCCGTCAGCAAAACGATCTATTCACTATATCTATATACCACCGTCACGCAGCTTTCCGACCACGACCGGAATCAAGGCTGAAAGTGCCCCCGCCACGTAAAATCCTGCCAGCTTTTCAACTCTACTTCAGATCTTGTATCTGAAATGCAGATTTTGCTTGTCCGTCAAGTCCTCGAATCCCTCCAATAGTTCCTCGGTTCGCTGCGCATGATAGCCTTTCCGGTCACGGGCTTTGTTGTCGAAGTAACACCATATTGAATAGATGACTTGCAGGCCGATCAGTGCACAGTATGTTGCGAGCAATGCTCTGATGGCCGTGAAGTATCGCGGCGCTTCTGACGGTAGGAAGAGATGGGGCCCGCAGATGTTGCCGGCGTTGTAAAATCTATAGGTCAAGATTAGTGCGGCTCGCGGCTCAAACCTTGCAAAGGGAGAACTTACACGAAAAGAAGACCAAGGACGGTGGTTCTCTTTGTGTGTCCAGCGACGTTGAGACCCGGGACTGTCCAGCCCAAGATGATTGGCGAACCCAGAACATTCTGCAGCCACGCACAGGCCACCAGAGCGTATCGGTGTTTAATGCTGATCGTTAGTAGACCGATCAAACCTGCGAAGCCGGGCAAGCATGACACTGAATGAGAGTAGAAGTATCAGCATGTGAAAACCGTCAAGATCTAAGGCAGGGAAGAAGATACTCACCGATAATTGTCGCACCTAGCAGGTTCGGCTTCGTAGCCACCCAACCAAAAAACATACACCCAATCAACTCGAAAGCACCACCAGGGGTCTGCAGAAGAGTTGTCTTGAGCGCATCAAACCCGAAGCCCTTAATGATGACCGAGGTAAAGTTCGCGACTGCACCATTCAGGATCCCTGTGCAAGCGCCCATAAGCAAGACAAGCCACGTCTTCGGGTCAATGGCCGCCTCCTTGACCTGCGCAGGAATCAGAGTGTAGTGTTTGATCCCCATCTGGTTCTTCGATACCCGCCAGACCGCCACCATCCGTTCGTGTTCTGTGAGGATTTTTGCGTTGTGGGGCCCGTCTGGCAGGTATAGTAGAACCACGAACCCCCAGAGGAACGTCATGCAGCCCACAATCTGTTACCAGTTAGTCGTTGACTTGGCCGCAGGGGGTGTACTGAAATACCAGATAGATCAATTTCCAGTTGTCGATGGCAAGATGGGTCGCATGTCCACTTCCGTATGCTAACAACGAGCCGAGAATGGACGAGACACCGTTGGTCGACAGCCAAAAAGAAGTCCGAAGAGCCTGCTCCTCTCTGGTCCAAAGCATGGACGTAAGAAGGACAAAGGCCGGGGCAATGCAGCCTTCAACCACACCTAGGAAGAAGCGCACAGCGAAAAAGCCCGAGAAATTGAACACGGCTGCCTGTAGCATACAGACGCCTGCCCAGACGAACACCATACCCCCAACCATTCTACCGACTGGATAACGCTGCAAGGCGACGTTCCAGGCGTATGCGCTGACGAGCGTTCCAAAGTAGAGCGCGGAAGCCACCCAGGTGTAATCATCGCCTTTCATGTTCGTGTCCTCCTGAAGACCATATGCATTGGAGTAGTTGAGCCTACAGGCTTGAGCGTGGGATACAGATCCTCGTGTCAAGGGAAACTTACGTCTGTTTATCCAGAAAGCTCAACATGTAGGTGGTCATCATCTGAGGGGGTCAGAGAGTTAGCATTGTCCAAACTTGCTGGAGACATGTGTCCAAACATACCATTGGGATGACTATAAAGTCGAGTTTGCGGCGAACTTTGATCGCATCCCGTTCAAGTTGAGCTTCGTCAAACTCAAGAGCCTTCTCTAATAGCTCTTTGCCGAGAACGTTTGGATCGTTTGTTCGACCTCCGAAACGGTCGAGGAAGGATGTCTTTGCAGGCGGGCTAGTGGCTTCGAGAGCCGGCTCAGTAATATGGGCTTGGTTCTTTTCGATATCCGCCATGTTCGCGAAGAGGGACAGGAGGCGGAAAAGATGAAAGCAAGGCGAGGCGAGGCAAGAAAATAGCAATTTTGGTAGAGAGTAGGCCTGTACTTAACCTGCTACGCCGATACTCTTCCAGTTCTCCGAACCAGTCTGTCGGGGTTCGGCCGACCGAGTGTTCAGGGCAAGGAAGATAAAGCCGCATTGAGGCGGACACATCTTATCGGATCCCACGAGCGTGGTGCATCTGCACAGGCATTGTCCATTGATCAGCAGATGGAAGGTCGATCAAGTCGCCACAATGGTTGGTCCGGAGTTTTGCGACCATACCATCGTGTAACTGCAACGATCTGCAGAGATAGCTGAAGCTCGAGGAGATCCGCGTCTATTGCGGATAGAAGACAATGCTCTTAAACAGGATCCCTGCGACCCTGGTGCGTGTTATCAACACGTCCCGGATGTCCCCACAGATCAGCTGTAACCGATGGTTTGCCGTGCCATGCCGGACTACCTCGTAGTCTAGATGGTATTCGGCAGGCAAGAGAGATGGCGAGCTGGGCGAGTAGATATCAAAGTGGCACACGTCCGGAGGATTGCTCTGCCAAGTTATATCAAGCTACATCAACGCGCATAAGCAAGATCGGTGTTGCGACCATCCGTACCAAGGCGCCAGACTGTTGGCCTAGCGGCTTCCATGACTGGTAAAAACGCGGCACACACACGGGTGATCGCCAACCAGGCTCGCGCAAGCCGCGGGTGAGGCGCGAGCAGAGTTTACTCGTCGTGGTGCCCAACTTGATGTCGTTTCACCCTCATCTCCTCCTCACCTGCTCCTCACCCATCCCTCTCCTTTGACTGTTACTGTAGTTGTACCACCAACATGGTGGCTTTTCGTTTCTCTTTTCGAAATTAGTCTCCTCTCTATAGCACATGTTCATTCATGGCATTCATTTGCCAATGTCCTGAGCTGGTGCAATATGAGAGAGGACAAAATAATAGTATCACTGTTCTCCGCACAACGTGCATTGCCGTCGACATCGGATATCCTCTGCGATCCGACTCTCCCCTGCCCGCCGAAGAGTCCACCTTGGTCACTCGCTCCAAGCTGAACTTGCTCAAACACCCGAATGACAAAAGAACTCAATATTGAGATCACGATCCTATTGCCAACCCCTCTCAAGCTGCTGTGCCTGACTTTTCGAACTGGACAACCTTTCATGGACTTTCAAGAACATGCCGGACCCTCCCTTCTTCCTCCATCGGACCTATGCCGACCAACGTTGTCGCTGAAAACACGTTGGAAGCATGTTATGTTGGTAAAAAAAATATGATAGAAACCATATGGGACACTACTATACCGAACCTGGTGGTGCTGCCACCCAATGACAAGGACTCGAGACGCTAGACTTTTGTGGGGGTAACCGGTCATGAAGCAACGACATGAGCTCGGATGCCAAGATCTCGGTTGCTGCGCCTTTTGACTCGACCTTCGTGGTGGATGGGACACGGGCGACTGTACTGGTAAGTTTCGACCGGCAAAACGCTGACTCCTGGCAGCAACAAGTGCCCAAGATGCGCGGGTTTGGTTAAGACCGTGGCGGGGTCGGCCAGGCCTACCGCTTCGACTGTGGCTCCTTCTCGTCGTTGGAGATTTGGGCTTTCGCTTCTACTGCTGCGACTGCATTCTTCCTTGCCTTCCTGGCCTCCTTGAAATCGTGGATTATCCCGTGCCACTTTCCGCGGTCCTTTGATATCCTAACTTTCTCCTCACAAGTTTTGCCAATGAGGTTTTTGAGCACATGTTTCCGCGGTCGAGGGTCTATAGCGAGGTCCAGGGCGTCGTCCAGTTTCATTTGAGCCGTCTCCGCGGCTGAGCGGAGAGCCTCGAACTGTGCATCGGTGAGTGTCGCGTTGCGGGTTGTGCTGGATTCATTGCGTATGGCGACTCGCTTTCCGACATTTGTGCTTCTTGTGGAGAGTACCCGCCGAGCAGTAGGTCGGTGTCTGATCATGCCAATCTGCTGGGAATGTTTGGCGTTCTCTGCTTGCGCCTTTTCCGCTAGTGCCATCAAGTCTGCGAATGATCCTTTCGCGAGACCTTTCTCAGCTGAGGTGGACTCTGCTGGACGTTTGGGGGACTTGACAGCTGGCTGGCCCCTGGTTGAACTCGCTGTGCTGCGTTTGTTCTCCTTGTCAGACCCGGAATCAGTTCTTTGGAGCTTATGAGCTCGCGAGCGATCGTTGTCCGGCTGGTGCTCGAACTCGTCCTTACCATCATCCTGATTAATTGTCAATGGACGCTATCATGGAACGCTGCTCTTGGGGAGAAGTACTAACCCGCTTTCGCTTGCAAGGGTTGGCCTTTGGTCCAAGGACGATGCCCTGCTCATGAATGGCGTCTTCAGGTGACTTGCTGCAAGCTCGACTAACTGGGGCGCCGGCAGTTTCAGGACAGTGACGTTTTGGAGCCGGTGCCCCGTCTTCGTTGTCAGACTTCTCAACGACGACATGTTTTTGGCGGCCGTCAAATTCAAAGGGCCGAGTGCCACTATCATCAGAGTCGTCCTGATCACCGTCAGTCGGCCATAGGTGCTGCGTTCGGGATGTCCTCAACTTACACTCGCACTTTCACGTCGTTGTTCCGGCCCGTCGTTGACCTTGGCAGCGGGTGCTGCGGACCTGGGCCTGGCCGTACCAGCGTAGGCGGGCTTGGTCCTCGCATGATTCTGGGTCAGAGCATCTGGAGCGGATGTCTGTCGAGTGTTGAGGACCTAACGTCTCTTTTGGGAGGGTGGCTTTTCCTCAGAACCGTCGGCAAGGGGTCGCTTGCAACCGACCACCTGGTCTGGGCTTCGATCAACACCGGCATTCGAGACGATTTGTCGTCATCAGCAAGCACATTCGATTGAGAGGGTTGTCAGCGCCTTGACTTACACCTTCAGGCTGTAAGATCTCCTTTTCTGTGTTCTCAGCTGCATGCGGCGGCAGTGATTGGACCTTCGCAGGCTTCGAGGCCTCTGATCCCTTCCGGGCGTCTATGAATTCCTTGACGGTGACAACGTTCGCTTGAACGAAAATCGACTCGCGGGCTTGCCGCTCTGCTTCCTCCACTGCAGGGCGCTCTTCTCCCCCTCGAGCAGCCGGCTTTGGGGCGATCTTTGTTACATGGTCATTGGAAAGAGTGCCTATCTCTTTAAGTGTCGTTGGCTTTCGAACACGACCAGTTTCACCAACACACAGGTTTCTAACCGCAGGCCTTCGAGTAGAAAGAAGCTTGTTGCGCTGTTAGCATCGACAAGCAGTTGACAGGCACCGCGAACAAAAGCACCTACAACACGAGTCTTGACTTCGTCCCTGATGGCAGTGGCTGGCGAGGAGGTGGCCTTTGATAGAGTGAGACTGGAACTATTGCGAGCTGGCTGGTTGCGTTTCAGTGCTTGCATTTCTTTGGCCTTTTGCTCCTCAAAGCTCTTCCTGAACACTGCTTTGTTCGTGGAATTCATCTTGTCCACTGAGAGAGTGGGCCTTGTGGAGTAATATTGAAGGTGAAGAAGGGGAAGCAGTGATGTTTGGGGCGAGTCACTTCAGGAGTCTGTGGGCAGAAGTCTTCAAGAATGGAGGAGCAGTGTTTGAAGTCGGGTTTGAAAATCTCGAGCTCCCGAGTGCGAAATATGGGAAAGATTGAGGGAAAGGACTCAAACGTGAGGAAAGATCACTGAAGCGAAGTTTCAATCGGCAGGCAGTGAGTCAAAGTTGTTGTTGCGAGTGAGAGAGCTTTTCCTATTGAGGTCGCTACGGAGTAAAGACGTGCGGCGGGAGCAGCTCGGTGGATACGCTGGTACCTCGCATTGTCTATATTCACTATCAAGCTGTCAAGCGGTGAGTCTCGAAGCCCCTTCTTACGGTGGCTTTTCATCGGTTCTGGCTGGCACCGTGTGACCTCTCAGGCGAGATCGGTTCTGGGCAGGTTGCACTCTATGATGCGCAGAGAACGATCGACACCACTCTATCTGGTACTTTGATCTGTCATCGATTGACCGGTGAAGCCCCCAACCCCGATAGAGGACTTCGGACGCTGCATAAGAGAAGGCGAACTACGCCCACCTAGCATCTTATGTTCAGGAGAGCCTCACATGCTGACGGTGGACAATCATTCCAACTTCCAATAGGCTCGAACAAGCATCCTCCAACCGTGGTCAACCTGTCATGTTGTTCGGTGGTCAACCGGCTAGGTCTGAAGCAATGACTAGCGATGGGCTGGGAACCATGACGTTGATTGCACTGGTGGGCAATGTTTCCACCGAGAAAGCGAGATGGCTTTGACGACTCGCGAGTCCTCTGATTCAATGACGCTGCTCCTAAAGTTGAGACGATGTTCTCAAGGATGATCGTCGCCTTGCTTGCAACGGGTAATGACTCGCCATTGTTATCACGTCTGGACTTGATATGCGATCGCTTTTATGAAGGTGTGTTGTCTTATCATCGGAGTGGACAACAACACGTTGCTTGCGAGTATCTGGAGAAGGGTACGCCTATTCGTTATCAGCAAGTTGACACGCAAATATGGCGCTAACCGCACTCATATCTCGGAAGTTTTCTTTGCTGCTATTGCTGCTGCTATTGCCGGCCGGGGACACCGTGCTCATCTTGCTGGCGTCGCTGTCGCCTGTGATGGCTGCATGTTTTCTCTTCCTGGGAGCGTGGATGGAAAGTGCTCTGTCTGTGAAGGTTCTAGGCTGCCAAGTGAAAGCTTCTCTGACTCGTCTCTTTGTTTCCTCGCGAGCGCCGGTACGCTGCTGTCATGTTCTGAGATGCAGGGTATTGGTATGGTGTGAGTTCTCCTTCCGAGGTCCCTGGCGCAGGATCGTTAGTGATCTGACCAATATCATCAGAGTGGCCGAGATTGTGACCTATGGCCATGTCCAGTTACGACGCAACACTCTTTGGTGGTTGAAGACCCTTGGCAGCGACTTCTGCATGGGCTTTCTTGATGGCTCGATGCTTGGTATGGAAGAAGTCGACTTGCGTCAGCGGGGACGGGCCTTGAGCGTGGTCGATGCTGGAGTAGATGTCGAAGACCTCCATTTTGACTTGATGGGCAGGCATGTGAGAAGCAGGGACAGTGAAGGTGGGTGGTGCAACGAGTGGGCAGTGTTAGTGAAGCGCAGATGTGAAGAGTTCGCCATTGATTGCGGTGCGGCAGTTGGGAGACGGTGAATCAAGCACAAGGTCTTCACTGCCTTCATCGAAAATTTTTGTAAAAGGTCACCTCGCTCTCACCAGCTTTCTTGAAGACTTGCTGTCATTGTCCACTCCCAGGGCCGACACCCACCACGTCTAGTCCCTACCAACAGCGCAAGCAGCATGGCGTCAACGGGTACCTCGTCGAGAAAGCGAAAACGCGATGAACTCCCGTGAGTTTCTCACTTTGAGTTCTCCCACCTTTGTCTCCATGGCATTGTTTTACGTCTGGCTAACCTAGACATGGCTTGGACACCGACAGTAGCTTTGCGGATCAAGAGATCGCGACCATATCAGTTGAATACAAAAATCAACCTCCGCGTCAGTTCCACGTTCACAAGCACTTGCTGTGCTCATCTTCCGAGGTGCTGCGCGACTCCTGCAACAGACAAGAACCCAAAGTGACAGTGCTCAAGGATGTACGCTCTGAAGATTTCGAGGTGTTCACACGGTGGCTGTACACGAAAACATTGGACGTGGAGAAGATGGAAGACGTTGTCGATGACGGTGGCAAGACGACTGGTGGTCATGTCTGCCTGGTCCACCAGCAATCTTGCATCAAGGCAGAGAAGGGAACTGGGGAAAATGGCAGTGACAGCAGTACCCGCGAAGCTGGACACGGTCAAAACCCTTGCATTCCTTCCATTGCCGGCGGTGATACCAGCGAGGAGACAATGACCGACGACAAGCCCTGGTACACCAACTTCGGGGAGCAATCACGCACCCTTGCTCGCTTGCTGGACCTCTACATCTTCGCTCAGGTGTACAAGGCAGACAGCTTCAAGATCGCGGCTATGTTGGAGTTCCAGCGCTTTGCATTCCATGCAGACATCCCAGCTGTGAACATTGTGCGACATGCCCTGGACAACCTTGACATCACCTCAGGGATGTGCTCGTATCTACTCGACCGATATGGCGGCCAGGACTTCAGCTGCCCGGAGCAATTAGATGAACAAAACCTCGAAAAGGCACTCGCCAAGTTGCCACCTCGATTTCTCACACGAATGATATCACTTGTTGCTAGGAGGACTGCTGGAGGCACAGTCAATGGCAAGGCCGAGCGGTGGTGCGACTATCACGAGCACAAGAGCGAGGAGGAGCGCAGAGAATGTGAAGAACGCAGGCTGCAGGACGCTGACATAGCGAGGGAGAGATATCGGACACTCGTGGGGCAGTAGATGTGCCTATTCCCACCGTGGTGGAGGAGTCTACCTTGGGACGGAGGTCTTCAAATTCACAAAGTTCGTTGGAAAGACTTTACCAGCACGCAAGTTGCCAGGCGGAGAATGCGCATCAGAAAGCTTGGGCTGCGCTGTAAACCCAACAGTCGGGCTTAATCTGTTCAACACAGATGGGCTATTCGAATTCAGATTTTGCTGTCAGAGACAAAAGCAGGAATCAAGTAATATTCACAGCACCTTTATGGTCCGCGCTTGGCTATGCACACAATCCAATTACGAGATATTTTCGGGTTCGAGGAACTCGGGACGGGGAGGTTGCGTCAAGGACCCATCAGGTAACTCACTGTGTTTGATTGATGCTAGAAAGCCGTCGAGTGCTTGCAACAAGTGTACTATCTTTCAGCTCATATTCACACTACTCTCTGCCTTGCTTGTTATCGCTGCCTACTGTACCTCGATATTCCCCCAAGGTCGGACCATATCCAGCGCATTCCCGGACCACGATTCCTCGCAGATCTCCAACGTCGTTCAGGGTGTATCCCGGCGCACTGACAAATCGGTGAGTCTCGCCAGTCGGGGATTACTAAACCAGGAGAGATCGAGTCCGCTAAGAGTCTGCTACTATCAAGACACCCAGTTACGGGATCTGCTTCTGAGGGGGCGGCACTTGGTTTCACCGGCTGACGATATGCCGGCTACTCACACCCTGCACCACGTGAAGGTGGCTGTCCGTTGCAGAGCGTCCTCCTCTTGCGCCGGGCTTCTCTTCTCTGCCTTTCTGCCTTTCGACTCCGTGACCGATTTCCTCCTATGGAGCGACATGTGTAGACTTCAGTCGTGTTGTTGTTTTGGTGTAGTACGGCGGTGTCTGCTGCGTGGGTGTTCAATGTATTCTTGTCACCGGCATCGTGGGTGTGTGTGGTGCTCGTCCCGTTATTAGAATGGCAAGTGATGTTGTGTTGTGGAGGTTCTTTCTCCTCGGCGGCCATGATATGTCGGAATATTGCTGTTGACTTGTTCCGTGTACTTCTGCCGTACGTAGCCTCGTGCTGATGACTCTACGATATATCTGATGTCGCAGTCATAATCTACCGATGTCGTCGTACATTCATGCTCTAGGCTTTTACGGTCTGTATTCTCGTGCCAGTGAGCCCTAAGCCTCGCTGTTGACAAAGCGGACAAGGCAGTATCTCAGACTTCGTCGAAGAGAGAGTAGAGGCCTTGACCGACGTTGAGAGTCAACGAGTGCGGGCGTCCGTCGAAGTGGATGCCGACCAACTGTCCAAGAGCAGGGGGCAAGGCCGTGCTGTTGCCGTCGCTCCACTCCACCATCCTCCTCACAACCTCGTATCGAGTGCAGGAGAGGTCGGTGATCTCGAGCTTGCCGTCGTTATTATCCTCCATGTCTTCCTCGGGCTCGTTGATCACGAGAAGAGCGTCTTCGCTGTCCAGCCCAAAGAGGTCGTCGACCTCCCGCCTCAATCTTTCCTCGTCTTTCTTCTTCTCAGCTTTGGCCTTCTCAATCAAGTCCAGCAGGGGCTTGTTGACGGCGGCCTTGTCGACTTCTCGAAATGAAATAAGCCCCTTTGGAGCTGGTACGCTCTTCTTGTAGTTGTAGGTGCTGCAACCTACTTTGATGGGCAGTGTCGTGTTGTAGGACTTGAATGTCGGCTGCACCAAATCGTACGTCTTCTCGATCCTGTTGCTGGTAGCATTGACCGCTAGTGTGTGGAGAGGGGTTCTTTTCAGAGGCTTGTAGAAGAGTCGGGGCTCTTCACACTTCCGGGCCAATTTGGCCTTGGAGGCTGCTGCGTAGTTGATCGGTGCCATTTTGAACGAGCGAATGTCAAGGATTGTACTCAGAAGTTGTTAGAAGTAGTGCTGAGGCAGACAAGGGCGTTCTCAAGCAGCAGCGGGGGTTACTGAAGTAGTCCGGAGCCGAACACAGTTGTACAATATCATTCAGTAGTCCTGAAGGATGTTGGGGGTTGGTGGTATGGAGGAAAGGAACCAGCAGCGGAATGAGGAGCAAGGGCGAATACTTATATGGCACTGGTAAGAATCATCTAACCTTGAACAGTCCTTCACGAATAACACTTCCCTAGGAACACTACTCCGTACTGAGGACAAGGATACCGTACCAGAAGTTTCACTGAGGGCATTGCATATGGTTCTGGTGGCCCGAGCGTCTGAGCCGTGCAAAGTACACAGAAGCCTGAACTCTACTCGCCTGTGGCAAGTCACTCATATGATTCTGCTTGCGTGTGGTTGAAGCTCGGACTTCTTCTACCCTGCAGATTGTAAGATTCCCGGCTTCCATTGGGCAGACCGTGAGAGCGAGAATTCAGGTCCTCAGTGCTGGGAAGTGGTCCTCAGTCGTTCTCAGAGGTCATGTGCTGATCAGAAAGCTTAAAGCGAGCACAACTCTCATTTGGTCCAGGCGCAAGCAGGTACTTTTTGGCCCGGCGCATTGTGCATGTATTCGCTGCATATCGGCGTGTGTGTTGATCACTCGATCGCGAGGCCATCGAGATGTTTCATTTTGACTCGAGTATGTAGCTATTGCTGAAGCCTGTATCACCATTACGGAAGGCAGTAACATGCAGAAGCCAAGGAGAGCTCGTGGAGATCAAAAACAGATGCCCTCCACCAAACCATGGCCTTGATGCTATCCGTGAGGTTAGAGATACAAACTTGAGCGCGAAGCTGATGCCAGAAAGCGACCTGGTCACATGACTTCGCGACTGCCTCAGACACGTGCTCGCGTTTCGCTCCATCTCGACGCGTTCGTCTCTCCCATCTGCGTGTCCAGGGAATACGATACACCGGCGTGAGCCATGCAGCTCCTCGCGGGGCTCAATGCTGCTCAGCGAGCAGCAGTTACCTCACCAGCGTCGGTCCTGCAAGTTCTGGCCCCCCCAGGTTCCGGTAAGACGAAGACGTTGACCTGTCGAGTGGCCTACCTTCTGTCGCACCATGGTCACAATCCTCAGAATGTCATCTGTTGCACATTCACCATCAAGGCTGCCCGGGAGATGCGAGAACGGTTACGCGGTCTGGTCGGCGATCACCTTGAGTCCAAACTGGTGCTTGGGACAATACATTCAATCTGCCGTCGTTATCTGGTTGCTTACGGCCACCTCATTCGCATCCCCAAGGGATTTGGGATTGCAGATACCTCAGACAGCAATAGCATCATCAAGCGAATCTGCAAGCGCATGAACCTCTCGATCGAACCGAAAGTAGCAAGAGCCAGGATTTCGAGTCACAAAGCAAAGGGCAAAGCATTGGAAGATCTACCCAAGAGTCAACCAAAGGAGCTTAAAGACCAGGAGTTCGTCACAGTCTTTCACGAGTATGAAGCAGCATTGGCGACTTCCAAGCTGTTAGACTACGATGACTTGCTGCTGAGATGCGTCGACCTCCTTCGAGCGTATCCTGCCTGCGTCTCCAACGTCGAGGCCCTGCTGATTGATGAGTTTCAAGACACGAATATTGTGCAGTTTGAACTTATGAAACTGTTGGCGTCGAGAAAAAGAAAGATCACTATTGTTGGTGATCCTGATCAGAGCATATATGGATTTAGAGCAGCTGAGATTGAGAATCTCAGCCGCATGAAGACATTCTACCCCGAAACCGTGGTCATCAATCTGGAAGAGAACTACAGATCGACGTCGGCTGTGCTGGCGCTCGCCCAGGACGTCATCGAACAGGACGAGAGTCGGCCACAAAAGAGGATGAAAGCTACACATTGCCATGGGACTAGACCTGTCCTCCGGCGGCTGCCCAATCCTAACGAGGAAGCGCTGTGGATTGCCAGCGAGATCAAGAGAACGATGGCAATGACCGGTGGTCTGCTTCTGCATTCGGACTTTGCAATTCTTCTCCGATCAGCATATCTGTCATTACTCATCGAAAGAGCGTTGACGACCGCCGGCATTCCATATCGCATGGTCGGAGGCCAACGATTCTTTGACCGCGTGGAGATCAGGGTCATCATCGACTATCTTCGCACTATAAGCCATCCTGACAACAACCAGGCATTCCTCGCCATCATCAATATCCCATCACGGAAAATTGGAGAGACTTCAATCGCTGAAATGGTCAAGCTGGGTGAGGAGAACAGGCTCTCCCTCTGGACTGTGGCACAAAAGGTCCTTGTCGGCGAGCTAAAGCCCGCGAAAAAGTTGTCGAAACCCGCAGAACAGGAGTTAGGCCGTCTCCTCAACCTCATAAAGACAGGTAGACAGAAGATGAACACGGTATCTCCAGCAACTACGGTCCCGTCAAAATTAATTGGTTTCCTTGTCAACTCTCTCGACTACGAAAATTATCTCAAGAAAAAATACAAGGATGATCATGAAGATCGAATTGAGAACGTCAAAGAACTCGTGACTCATGCCTCAGAGGTCTTGCTTCAATCAGCTGCCGAAGAACCACTTGCAAGTATTGAGGGTATGGAGCAAGCAGCCTCGAACGGTGGCGAGGAAGTCCTGGCTCAATTTCTAGCCAACATTGTCTTGTCGACAGACGTGGAGAATGAAGAAGGCAAAGACAAACCTCGTGTCACGATCTCGACTATCCACTCGGCAAAGGGTCTTGAGTGGCCAGTTGTCTTTATTCCTGCCATTTACGAAGGATCCATTCCTCACTCACGAGCTGAAAACACCGATGAAGAGCGACGCTTGCTCTACGTTGCCATGACCAGAGCACAGGCTCTGTTGACCATGACTTTCCCAATACTGCAATCTCGAGATCAGGGAGAATCGATACTCACCCAATTTCTCCCGAGCGAACTCCATCACCGTACCTGCCGAACAGGGCCGTTGTTCGATGATCGGGTGATCCGTGATCTGGCCAGCATTCTTAAGCGGCCTGTTCCCTCACAGGAGGATTTGGCGAAGAGCTTGCAAACCTTGGACGGCGACGATAGCAGAGAAGATGATGCCTGGCCCCCTGACGGCAGTCGTCGACCTACGCCAATGCTGGCTGACGACGGTCATGCTCTGCCAGAATTCGGCAGACCGCTCGGGGAAGTTCTCGCAGCTCAAAAGCAGCAGTATCGATCCTACTCAACAACGGCAGCAGCCAATCGTGTGGGGGGCTCCGGCAGCCCTGAGATCGCCACTACCATGAGCAGGGCTGGTAGCTTCTCAACCTCCAACATGTCGCTCGGTTTCACTACTGCAGGTTATCAGTTGAAGAATGTCTGGGAACGCTCTCCAGCCTCGTCAGATCCGACACCTCCCTCGAAGAAGCCAAAGCTCTCCAAGTCAGCTTCAGCGCAGGGTCCCATTGTCGGTTTCTTCTCAAAACCAGCCATGCAGGCACGTCGACCCTCCCCCGAACCAGCGCCCGCTCCAACAGCCCGGGACCTATATCCACAGCGAAAGCAAGATCAGGGAGCCACGCAGGTGAAACAGGCATGGCAGAGTTTCGAAAGTTACTCCTTCGGCTCCAGCATCCCGCAAGAGCTCTCCTCACACAAGTTAAACGCCAACAATGGGTTACGTTACCGTCCTTCCGCCCCATCACGGGACGCGAACGCCTCCTCCACTATACGATACGCCGGGCTGTACAGCTCTTCACCTCCACCCGTAGATGACGAGGACAAAAAGCCGCACCTTCGACGTACCGGTGACGAAAACGAGGGGATCAGCAAGGCCCCAGGCTTTAAGCCCTCGCTTGGGCCACCGCGGGCTGATCTGGAGACAGATTCTCGGCTCAACAACAACATCAATATCAACGGTGGTACTCGTACCAAGCCAGCCACGACGATGCATAAAACAAGTATGGCGTCCGTGTCTGCGGCCTTCTCGTCGGCGGCAATGGTGGGCTCCAATCCCGGCGTCGGCAGGAAGACCCTCGGTGTTAGGCGCACGATGAACGGTTGGAATGATCGGAGACATAAGTAGAGATGGTGGAAGCATGTTAGGATTTGTTATTTACGACGAACGACCTCTTAACGATATATATGTATGAAAATGGGGTATAGATGGACTGTCTCGTGCGGATTGTCGTTGAAGAGGCGATGAGGTCTGCCGAGAGCTCATGTATTGGCGATTGGGGTGTACATTGATAGCAAGATTAAATAAACGCCCCTGTTTGAGGATAGTGGTCATCGAAGCAGAATCAGAGGCATCGAGGGTGAAGGTGTTCGTGCATCTACTGTACGTGTCCAGGTTTATGGGATTGGGACCGAATATCACGCACGAGCAACGCGCCTGCTCCGGCATTATTCAAAGCGTCAAAGGGTTTCAGGGCTCCAATTCTCAAGGTCTTAAGGTGAGATCAATCTCTGACAAGCCATGCATGGATAGCATATCCTCGTGCGCTTGTACACTGGCTGAGCGTCCAATTGTCTCTCATTCCAGACAGCATGTGTACACAGCTACACAGGTACAATCCCACATTGCGTTGACGTGCGTTGCAATTGGTGCCTCCAACATTAATCTCTGCCGTGCGGTGTATGGGCGACTGATTCTTGTCCATTTGACCTCACACATGGCTCTTCACAAGCCCGTACCTTCGCCGAAGCCGTTCAGACCGCCAACAGCAGTCCAGGACAAAAGTATTAACCCGAACTCATCATCTTCTTCACCGAAGCCTGAGGCTCGATCGATAGAACATTAGTGACGATCCATTTCGCGCCGAAATTCGCGCCCTACCCAATTTTTTCCCTCTCTCTCTCGACTGCATCGGGGCATGGATTGCTCAGTCAATATGCCACCTGACCTCAGCAAGTCGTTGAAGTTGCCACCCAACCTCAGCATGTCGTTGACGTTGCCATGCATCATGATCTTCCATATTCTCTGCTGCTCTGAGGAGCAGCATGACCCAGTCGAAATCATCTGCCCTTAGCTCCCGGATTTGCTCTTCTGCGGCGTTAAGCTCGCCGAAGCGCCCATGGGCTTGGGACATGTGGCTATAGCACTCTTCGTCACTTGCGAATGTGGCCAAGCAGAACCAGCAGATGTGTGTGCCACACATACAGGTAATGTGATTACATCCGTCCTTCTTCTGAATCAAGACGTTGCACTTTGGGCAATTCGATATCCCAAGCTTCTTCTTTTCCTCGTCAGATACAATCTGCTCGACTCGATTCTGACCCTGAACTTCTTCACAGGTGAGATCGTCGTGGCTCAGAGCCCGGCATTTCGAACAAATCGAGATGAGGCAGTTGTCGCAGGTGAAGACCCCCGGCGTTTCGGAGACTGTGTAGATACTTGGACAGTCTGGAGTCGGACAGTATTGGATGTGATCTGGTTTAGATCGTATGTATTGTTCGAAGGAAGACTCCAGTACGGCTTCGAATGTGCTATTGTCCAGAGCCTTTTTGATCTCCTCCAAAGAGACCATCTGCCCACAACCACTTAGGTTTGCGAAACAGGTGATGGGGTTTTCGCTGGCCCCGAGGTCGCGACATAAAGCTTCAAAACACCCCCAGCAGTAGGAATGCCCACAACGAAGCTCGACCGGGTCAGCGATGTTTAAAAAGCAGTAAGGACATTCGTTGCTTGTCCCAGTACGTTGGTCGACTGGAACGACGGCTGAAGGATCAGTGATCAGTGACTTGGCGACGTCGAAATGCTGAGGGCTCCCTCTGAATATCATGGCAGGTGGTGTACGAAGAACATCCAACCAGGCGCTCTTCTTGCCGAAGTGTCTGATGACGCGACGTAGACCCCCCGAGAGCGCTTCGGCAAAGAGGTCGCCTTCCAGGGGCATCAAGTAATGAGACATGTGCGACGTGAGAATATGGATGACAGCACGACGGACATTTGCAAAGAGGGATGGTGTGCCGAAAAATACCAGCTGAAGCTTTCGTGTGTCTCTGTAGAGAAAGACTTCGCCTGGCTTGGAGAGAGCTTGCAGAGCGGAGACGCCTGCGTCTGAGGCGAGGAGTTCATGCCATAAAGCAGTGCCGTAGTCGTTCAGTACCACTCTGCCAACCAGCATCTGTGCCACTTGGGCTTTGAGTCTTGCAACAGCATCCAACTTGTGGCCATAAATGCGTAGGTCGACAATTTTGGAAGGTGAACGGTGGTGCGTAGAAATCCTCACGCCGTCCTTGTTGTCGGCTTGTAGCTTTTTGACATCTCCTTTGATGATGGCATAGAGCTCGCTCACGACTGGGACCCTCACTGCGGCGACCTGGTCGACATAGAGCTTTGAGCCTATCTCGGGAAACTCGACGCCGTTGTAGGCGAGAACGGCTCGAACATCTGACGCTCGTTCGAATTGAGCAAAAGCCTTGGTGCGAGATCCAGTTGCATTTTTCTCCAGCTCGAACGACCGTAGTTTGCGGCTCGATTGGCTGAAGAGTTCTTGAACAAATTTCTCAGGCTTCCTGTCCATATCCTCTAAAGTAGGTCTTCCCATGACGACCTTATCTGGCACAACTCCTTGGAGGTGTTCTTGTATTCGCTCTTGGGTGACGTCGGCAGCGACATTGCTCAGCAGGACAGACCATATGGCCTTCCCATTGGCATGGTGGTGGGGGGGCGGTTGCAATTTCGTCTTGATTTGGCGGCCGTAGAACCTGCCATCGAATCGCTTGATTGCCCTACTGGCCCATGTGTCGCTGCGGTAATGGAGCCACACGACTCTCGACGGGTTGTACCATGAGCAAAGGACAGTGCAAACTTGTGCCCTGCCTGTCCGCGTATTACTGTTATCCGATGATGCAAATCGTGCGGTGGTCGATGAGAGTCGGACGTTCAGTACCAGGGCACCGTCCCCAAAGCGAACGTAGGCACCTTTCAATCGTCGCTCCAAGATTTCTTCAGCCTTATGAGGAGTGGTAGGGGCAGCAGAAGTCGGTTGGGAGACCGCAGGATGGAGGTACGCGCACTCGAGTCCGTTCCAGCAGCCCCCCCCTAGCCAGAATCGGCATGTCGGTATGGGAGGTGAAGTTGGGAGGAAATACGGTGCGCCGGCGCGTAGCAGCGTGGTGGTGTTCGCCGTTTCGGATTGCAGCTTCGGAGAAGGCATATGGGCGAACTTGCACTCTTGACCTCGATTGCATCTGCCGCGGACAAAGAACTTGCACGTCGTCATGGTGGCAATGAAGGAGGAATGGGAAGATAGGGAAGAGGTACGGGGACAGGCTCAAGGCGCGCAGGAGAAAGAAGAAACAACGACTTACTTTGAGGCAGCGACTGAACTGGCAGTGAAGTGGCCCAAACATCAGCGCAAGTGAAGTACCGTGTCGATATTTGGTAGAGAGCGAACGCTATCTCTGGCAATGAGAGACACCCGTTACACTGCTTCAACACTGGTAATAACTCCATCTACGGCTCATCTCATCGTACGAGAAGGAGCCGCCAATTCGAACAACCAAATCCTCCTAGTATGTCAATTCCAACTCTTGTATATCCTGTGCTTGCATTCCCACCAGCCACCTCTTCACTGCACACTGCACAGCGGCCGCCATGATATACGAGACATATCGCAAAGGAAGCAGGGTGCCGGTCCGGCGCTGAGACAAACTGCCACGGTCGGTGGTGATTCTCTTGTTGCTGAGTGATACATTAGTTACCGTCACCTCTTCCTCACCTGCGTCCCCGGATTTCCGTCTTGGCCAAGTCCAATCGGCCCTTTTCTCGCCTTTTCTCGCCTGCGCACAATTACATTCCTCATTACACTTGAGAGCTCCAAAAGCTAAGAGACCGGCGATGGGCGTGAATAGTCCTTGATCATAACACCAGCAGCACGCACGCGAGCCCGTTGCTACTCCACACAGCCATCGCCAGAGAAGGCAACGCTCAATGGGGCCCGGCTTGAGATCTGGATCAGCAGCAGCAGGATATGTCCCCAGTTACGTCAACGATGTGCACGGGATTCTCGGCATGCTTGTCGTGTCTCTGTGGCCTTCTCGCTTACAGATCTGCAACTTTCCGACCTCTCAGAAGCGGCAAACTCGCTTCAGCTCGTCGCTTGGTACTTCCCCAGCCTTGGGGCCCCAGTCTCCGTCCTGGGCTGCAAGTACTCCAGGCGGGGCTTCGCATGGCAATGGACGACATCAGCATGCATGAGCGTCAGACGATCGAGCCATCATGGCGCTCCCACCAACCACACACCAGCATGGGCTCGCTCATGTCGCCAGACTCGAGTCGAGATACGTGGTCGGCGAGACCTCAAGCCTCTTACGGATATGCCGTTGACGGTCATGGCCTGAGACTGCGCACCCCCGCCTCGTAACCCAAAGCTCTTCCTTGGGCTTCTTGCGACTCGGTCGAGCGTATATTTCACCGTTGCCTGCGTGACAGGTTGGGATTAGTATCTGCGGTTAGGTCTTCATATAGACACAGCATTCCCGTCACTCCTGCTATCCGCAGACTTTCTCTCCTCCACCAGAGCACACCGTTCTGATCATCCAAGATGACTAAAGCAGCAGATCCATATTACAACCGAAAACCAGTCCCTGGTATGACAAGCCAATGCGCTCACATTGCAAACGTGCTCGCTCACTCTCTGCTGTACAGATGAGCTTATCAAGGACGTCGGCCTCACCGGCCTGACCCCAGAAGAAGAATTCTGGAACCGCGAAAAGAAGTTTACTGCCCAGGGAGCAGATGTTCGACGATTTAGCAACAGCCTCCATGGGGGCCTGGAACCTCTTGCCGATCCATACTACGGTCGCAGACGAGTCTCCCGTGAGCATCATCAGACCAAGCTAGTCTTGGAGACTAATTGACATTGTATTCCAGAGGCAGAGATTGCGAACGTGGGAGCAACTGGCCTCACACCGGAAGAGGAATACTGGAACCGCGAACGCAAGTACAGCGTCGGTGGCCACGACGTCAGGAAGTTCAGTAAAGGCACCAAAAGCAGCCTTGAACCCTCGACCGACCCGTATTACTCCCGCAGGCGAGTCTCTGGTGAGTATTTTGTACTTGACATACCTCGCGGCCTGCCTCGGACCTGCTAACATCTGACACCATGTCTAGCCGCCGAGATCAAGAATGTCGCCTCTCTCGACGACCACATGACCCCCGCCGAACAATACGAAGTCCGCGAGCGCAAACAATCCCTGTTCCAACTCTCCTCCGACCCCTTCGACAATCTCGCCAATCGTCACCGCCAATCCGTGTCCGGGGCTGTAACGGGTGCTTCGGCCGCTGCGACCCGTCGGCGAAGCTCTGCTGTCGCTCCGGATGCCACTGTTGCTACGGCTGCAGCGGGCCACTCCCACAGTGGCTATGACAGTGGCCATAAGCTGGAGCCCATCGTTAGCAAGGCTGACGGGCCCACGGCCAGCAGTCATAATGGGGAGAGCAGCCTGAGTGGGCACATCTCAGATGATACCTTAAACAGAGACTCGATTGATCCGGTGGGGGGACGGAGCGGGGAGCACACCCGGCATTATGATGCGGTGACGACGGGCCACCATCATGACCCGGACAGCGTGGCGCCTCATGAGGTGCGATGAATGCGGAAGAGTCTTGGATTGCCTCGCAACAGCTGAGAAGCGGGGCAGCAACGCGGACGAATCTCCGGATCGATGATACCCTGTTTGTGATGGAAGGTATTATGGCGAAACGTGCTGGGATGAGTGAGCCGAGTCTTTAGCTTGCTAGTGGTTTTTCGTGTATGCCTTAATTCTAATACTATGTATCTCACTTCTCACTCTGTCCGCCACGAGACTTCGAGTTCCGACCAATACATACAACGTTAATATGAAGACCGTCCATACTGGTGGATACAAGGGTACATACCGCGGGATGGCACTCACCATTTCAACGCGTGCTTACGCCCTTGCATGTCTTCAATGGAATCTACAAGGTGTCTCCTCGCCAGTCCTCGTCATAGATCCTCTAGTCCATAACATCCGCAACAATTCAAGACACGCGAGCATCGCCGTAGCCCTGTGAAGACCGGACGTGCTATGACCGAGGCGAGCAACAGAGTCCAGCACAGGCCTGCCAACACCATTGTCCCTGATCATACACAAAGTTGAGGCCCCACACGCAGCAGAAAAGCGTCCAATAAGCCAGCAACTCCAGGGGCAGCCAAAGGTGCTTGCAACACCTGCCCAGCGCCTTCCTGAACCACGGCTTCCTCGGCGGTCTGTACGTCAACTCAATCTCCAAACACAACGGACAATGCACAGAACAGCTGCCTGGGAGCTCGCAATCCATCTCGCAGTCTCGCCCCTCCCGGGCCATCTTCTCACGACAATACGCGCAGAAGTAATCGATGCTGTCTCCCTTTTTCTCCGAGTGGCACCAATTGTGCAGCAAGTGGGCGTATCTCTTCTTCTTGCTCATCGAGTTCCACTGCTTCTCGCTGACGCCCGTGCACGCGACCCGGACGTCGTATTTGGGTTTCCGCTGCCGGCGCAGGCGTTGCTTGAAGTATTCGGGACAGCGCGGCAGGATCTTGTAGCAGTGGTTGCAGTAGCGGAAGCGATCCTTGGGCACCCAGCCGTGGGCCAGGCGCTCGTACAGCATCGGTGTTTGCGGATGGAGACAGCGGCTGTAGCCGCGGTCGTGGAAGAAGACCCAGTCGGCGCGGGTGCAGCGGAGGGTCCGCAGCGTGCAGGAGAGGAGTGACTTGCACGTCAGGGCGAGACAGATGCGGTCGACCGGGTGGAGGTAGCTGGCGATTTCGAGTACGATTTCCGGAGGCAGCGCCGCTAAACTGGCGGTGGGTTGATGAGGCGGCTTGAGTTGACTGCTTCGTGTAGTGACGGCCGTCTTTTCAGCGCCGTCAATTTCACCATCCTCGGTCGGCATTGCAGCCGGCGTCAAGTCTAGCTGTGTGAGGTGTTCAGCTCGGTCTTTCACTCTTGAGGTTCCGGCGAACCGCGCTGCACCTACCTTGTGAGGGACTCTGAACAAGCTCAGACTATGTTGCGGAACGGGGTCCCAGGAGGTGGGAGTCCGTTGGGGCTTCCATCGCGGCGGCATGGTGCTCGTCCATAGACTGCCGTGCGTCAGAAAAGCATGTTACAAGGAGCGGCAGACACACGAGTTTCAGCTGAAATGAAAACTGAAGCTGAACCTTACGACCTGTGACGGGGAGTCTGTTTTGACCGTTCCTCCTCGAGAGGACCGAGCGATAGGCACCAACAGGTTGGGTGGACTGTGAGCGGTCGGTTGGTCCAGCCGCAATCAAGGTGCACGAAGGGGACTTTCTCTTGGTGCTGTGATGTGATGTGATTTGATTTCGAGCTACACACAACCAAGGCCAGAACCTAGCAGTGGCTTGCTGCTCGGATGCCTGGCATTGGAAAATGTGGCGGCTGTCAGTTCACCCACGATTGGCTCGCCCGTCGCGTGCATATGTTTCCTGGGGTCATTGCGAGATTCAGCAACCTGTTGGGTCAATATTGGCTCGGACCGGCGGGTCCTAGAGGATAAGAACTCCGGCGAGGTGCTTGAGTGTGGGAGGAGATGGCAATGGTTTGATGGCTTGATAATTCCCCCTCGCCGTGGCTTGGGATTGATTCAAGGCTCAAAGAGCTTGCCCGGGGCGTGTACAAAATACTGTACGTCAGAGGTTGGAGGGGTCAGTGGCGCAGGCAAGACCGCTAGATGCGGGGGACCGCCTAAATAGTCCGTGGGCGAGTCTATCGATAAGCCGGTAAGCTCCAGGCCGACAAGCTCCAAGAAAGCACTGCAAGAAGCCAGTCGTGCAATAAATACTCGTAAACTTGGGCTCTCCGCTCGTTCTTTCGTCCGAGTCTCGGGCCTGGAGAGAATGGTCTGTCGCCCGACGAGTATCTCCGTCGCAACATACTATAGTACTCCGCTTTGCTCACTCGTCCGAGAGGGGGGAGGTCTTATCTAATCTGCAGGTACAGACAGGCAAGAGCCCGGCTTGCGAACACCAAGCAATGGAAGCTTGAATTGCCACGCCTCGGTCGCAAGCGTTAAGGTAACTTCGATTTGCTTGTGCTGCCAGAAGGTGGTTCACCGACGCCAACCAGCAAGGGATTCTCCATGTTACCATCATCATACACCTGTTACAACAGATCCGGTATCGAGACTCCTACCAGCAATGGCCATCTTTACATATCATGAGAGGTATGGCAATCCTAGAGAGATGATCCTGCCCAAAATGAATCCAAACTTTCAGATATCGAGCAGGCATGAAAAGCCACGAACTAGTGGCTAACCCATGGCGCACTTACTGAACGATATTATGGGAGGGAGGCATCGAACAAGCAATGCATGGCACCCTTTACCGGCTTGGAACAAAAGCATAACCCGAGTTATTCTGTTCGGTGCAAAATTCCTGTCGACAGAAGAAACACCGTCTCTTCTATTCCGGCTCCTTTCCCCTGTTTTCGTTGGAGGCCTTATGGGTTCGGTCTTCAACTACGAGTAAATGAAAAGGAACGACACTTATGCCCACAGCCTGGCATAAAGACTGCTGGACCGGTCTGGCTTCGCAACGGCAAGTTCTAGAATCCTGGCGGGAGCCGGGGCGATGTTGACTGAATCAGGCGCTGCTCAAAAAGCAGCTATTTCTGGTAGTTGCTAAAGAAAGTTTTCTCTTGTCGTCGTCGTCGCTCGTTCGGGTCAGGGGAAATTGCAGATGGGGTCCGTTTTCAGCATGTCTCAAGGCCGAGGAGGCGCCGGGTGCCTTGTGCCATTGGCCACAGCGACGCCGAGTCCCTTTCAAGCTCCAGCCCAGCATGAGGCTATTCACGCCTCCTTTTCAACCTCATTCTACTCCGTACCCTTCATTTCCTTTGGACCCTCCTCGCAAGAGTGCGAGACAAAATTGCGTGAGAAACTTCGGCTCGATACTTGAGCCATCCGTATCTCGATCGTCAATCTCGCTTACTGTGCCCAAATAGCCTCGGGGACTGTCACCACGCACGAGACCCTCCGAATACGAGGCGGAATGCATGAACACCGGCCCTTCCGGTCGATCTAGCAGGGCTCCTTGCCATGTGCGTTGAATCTCGATATGGCGTTGGTTTCGTGATGTGGCATCGGTTGCTGGCTCCCGCCTTGCTTTGTCATTTATGTCAAGTTTTCCCGATGCTGGCTTGTTGGCGGTTTGAATGAATGCCCCTATTGGCACAGAGTCGGCAAACGCTGGAGAGATGGCGTTGAGATGGCGCGCCACAAACAACGTCGATGGAGACATCCTCGTCGTAGGGAGTTGCCTCTCCACAATGGCGTTTACAAGGCGCCGTGGCCGACTACGTATAGCGAATATGTCTTCTCTCTCCTTCCTGTTCTTCTCCTCAGTTTTGTGCTTGTTGTCGCCGTCGCTCTTTCACACATTCACTATCTCGCGCGTTTGCGTGCCGCTCATTCAATATGCCTTCCCCATCACTCTTTCTGGGGTCGAGCACCACACTCGTTTCTGCTTTGTTGTTGCTTTCTTCTTCCGCTGCCGCTACTTCGGATGCATATTATGCCTTGGACACCGACTATTCGGGCAGAGACTTCTTCGATGGCTTCAGTTTCTTCACTGTAGGCGCTGTTTTCCGTGGGCTCGGAGGAACCACTGCTAACATCTGATAGGATGCTGATCCGACCCATGGCTTTGTCACGTACGTCGACAATTTCCCTTTTTCGAACGGCGATATTAACGTGACCAGTTATGTGGATGAGGCTACTGCATTGGCGGATGGCTTGATCAACACTCGTGGTGGCTCTGCTCAGATCAAGGTCGACAGCACCCACAAATACAATGGCAGTGCACCATACTCTGGCATCAATGGCGTTGGTCGTCCTAGCGTGAGGATTGAAAGTATCGATTCTTGGACACATGGTCTCTTTATCGCGGACATCAAGCACATGCCCACCACCACAGACTCCAGTGGCTGCGGTGTTTGGCCTGCATTTTGGACTCTTGGTTCCGGGACATGGCCCTACAGTGAGTCATTCCCCTTCGCATTCTCACTGTCCCCTACAATACCTCTGGTACCAGCAGCGGATCAACCGAGGGTGTTCAAAGAAGGTTGGTGCTGACTCTGTATTCCTCCCAAGATGGCGAAATCGACATCATCGAAGGAGCCAACAACCAGGCCAATGATCTGACGTCCACCCACGTCGCTGGCAGTTGTGTGATCTCCCAGAACCCATCGGAGATGACTGGCACTTCCAACGGCAACGATTGCCAGTACAATGTCGCTACTGGTGCGAACGCTCAAGGCTGTGGAGCGTTCTCGAAGAGCTCTGTCAGCTACGGCGCTGGCTTCAACTCGAACAAGGGAGGCGTGTACGCCATGGAATGGAAATCTGATGCCATCAAGGTTTGGTTCTTCCCTCGAGGCTCCATCCCTTCGGATATCAGCTCTGGTAACCCAGAGCCATCTGGGTGGGGCCTACCGGATTCCATCTTCAACGGTCCTGGATGCGACATCGATGCCAACTTCGCCGACAACAGATTCATCTTCGACACCACCTTCTGCGGAGATTTCGGGGACGCGACTTGGCAGGGTGGTGGTTGTGCGGCGATCGAGAGCCAGAGCCAGTGCTCAGTCTTTGTGGGAGATCACCCTGAGCAGTTCACCGAGGCATACTGGGACGTGAGCTATGTTCGCGTGTATCAATCTAAACCAGTTACTGGTCGCACGTCTTCTTCGACAACCAGTACGACGACAACCTCTTCCAGCAGCTCAACCAGAACGATTTCTCATGCAACCACTTCCGAGGCATCCACTACCGAGAGTACAACCCTTCCTTATACACATTCGCATACCTTCGGTGGACAACCGGGTACAACGAGCGCACCAGCGACTGCAACCACCACGTGGTATACTACCTCCGCCAGCCCGTCGCCTTCGACCACGTCGCCGTACATCCACACCACAGCTTCCAGCCCTGGAGCCAGCTCAGAGACCACATGGGCACATTCGCCTAGCAGCAGCTCCTCCAGCTCGGAGTCACCTGCCACCACCCCCGGCGGCTCATGGGAAGGCACCACATCAAGCTTTGATTGGCAAGACTGGGAGTCTTCCACTAAGCCCGCCGATCCAGTGACAACTTCTTTGACAACCTCGAGCATTAATTGGGCTGACTGGGAGCTGTCCATGTCCTCGACCAGCACCCCTGCCGACCCTGTAACGACGAGCTCAACCTTCAGCTGGGCCGACTGGGAAGTGTCCGCGTCATCCACGTCGAAGCCGAATGACCCGGTGACGACGAGCTCAAGCTCCAGCTTTAACTGGGCCGACTGGGAAGTGTTCACCTCTTCCACGTCGAAGCCGAATGACCCGGCAACCACAAGCGCCTTCACCTGGAGCGACTGGAGCAGTGATACTTCCGTTGCACCTATCTCGACCGCGACCTGGTCCGACTGGAACAGCGATACCTCCCTGGCACCCATCTCGACCGCAACCTCAGCCTGGGGCTCTCCAGACGGCAAGCCATCCTCCCCTGTTGCTGCTGCTTCAGCCGGCTCCAGCACATGGGTCAGCCCCAGCGTGACCATCGCCACAACCGTGACCGTTGCACCTGTGGCCTCGTCCGCATGGGTTGCAGCCGCCTCGGCAACGCCAGTGGCTCCATACAGCGTTCTAAGCGATGGAACGGGCAGCGCAGGTACTACCACCAGCCCCTGGGTCGCCGCTTACACGGGTGCTGCAGGACGCACGGGTCTGAACGGGCTTGCGCTGCTTGGTGCCGGAGCTGTTGCTTTCGGTGTGCTGGCTCTGTAGAATACGAGAGTGTGAGAGAGTGATGTCCAAGTTTTGGATGTCTTAGCCGTGCAAATTTCATGCCATATAGACCATATGACCACCATACCAGCCTGCCTCTTCGATTCTACAGCTTATTAACTTCTTATATCAGTTCTTAATGCAGAACATTCAGCAGGATATTGGCGCATGATGAGGATGATGTACTTCTGCAATGCTGTCGACGAGAAGAAACGCTGACCATTCGCTCAGTTTCCCATTACCGCGCGCGTCTTTTGTGATGGGGTGAATTTTTCTCTACGCGTGCAACTGCCGCACCCGTGTGCTGTACAAATATCTCGCGTGTTTTGATTCTTTCCCTCTTTCTTTCTTCCTTTTCTTTTCTTCGGCATCGTGTTGGTCGTGGTTCGCCCACGGACACTTTGACCCGTTGCGAGGGTCAGCGCTTCCAATGCTGTTCCCTCGCTCCTATGCAATAACATCCGATAGGATAATTGAATACCAGGTCCCCTGTAATGCCGGGGGCAAATCGTCAACGTCTAGCAGCAATTCATTTGTGTCCTAGGCGGCAGACAAACAACGTGGCCTTGTGCCAATCGCGCGATGTCCTCGACGACAGTCAACAATTGTCCATGACAGCAACGCACGAATGTGCTCCGAGGCGATTGACAAAATTCGCCATGGAAGCAAACCAACGGAAGTCTCACACAAGACAACTGAATACCGTCCCTCGGGACCAGCTGGCAGAATTGCCCACCGGGGCACCGGGAGAATGAATGCAAAGGATTACGGGATCAGATGAGACTGCATTTGACGAACGGGAACTTCGTAAGTCCTTCCTTCACCTTTTCCTGAATTGTTCCCCTGCCCCAGTACTGATTGAAATTGCAGCAAAGACGTCAAATGCAGCAGCATCACCTCTGAACCCATCTCGAATTACACCGGGGTCTGCGTCTCGTCACCCATCTCAATTCATCTCGACATATCCGCCTGAATCTGCGAAGCCGTTCGGGCAGAGACCAAAAACAAACACCACCACCACGAGTCTCAAAACCCACGCAAACCCTCTCTGCTCGGCGGCCGTTCAAGCGAAATGTCGGAAATGTCGACGGGAGTCGAAATGCAGACAGACTAAGCCAAAAAAGTGAGGGTGGGAGTGTTGACCGAGAGCCTCGACATGATTCCTTCTGCAGCTGAAGCTGTTGGCGCGGCAGACCGCAGAAGTAAACAACATGGAAGCCCTAAGTGAAGGCATTCCGACAAAACGAAGAAATGAGGTTTCTCCCTCGACACTGGAACACGGCGAATACCATAAAGATTTACCATGCGCTTTATGTATTCACGACCAAACAGCAATACAAAAACAAATTTTCTTTGCCCCTTTTCTTTTCCTTTCCAAGCGTCAGAAGAACATTGTCGTACTGAACATGACGGGGCCGTGGCGGCTCATTTCTCAAAAAGCCCACCACCCAGCTCGACGGTCATGAGCTACCCTCGCTGACCGATCATGATGACAACATTGGAAAGACTGGCGAGGGAAGGCAGTTGCCCACACCTGAAGTAAAGCGAGTTATGTACCCTGCATCGCCAGACTTCAGACGTCAAGTTACAGTAGGAGGGAGGTTGCTGCTCCGAGTACTCTACCGAGCTTGCCTTGAGAGGTGTGTGTGATATGCTCGGAATGACTCAATTCAAATCGTGTTCCGAAATCTTGAATCTTTACCGTCCATATGTACGGAGTACTGATGTATCTCTCCGAGGTCCTCGTGCTTTGCCTGCCTGCCTGCTTGCCTGCCTTCAACCATACATCACCGCTCTTCCAGGCTGCGACTCTCTATTCATCCTCCCTTCCCTTCCCTTTCCAGCGAGTTCCTCCCAATTACAAGCAGGTTAGCCACGAAACTGCAGGCATTGAGAAGCCTCTGTTTTAGTTCCTGTAGATAGGCGGTGTAAGACCTTATAGAGACTATATCATATTAGCTTCGCCAGAACTAACCCGGGATACACACTGGTCGTGGAGCTTTTCATACGCCGACAGATTCGCCGGAAGCGACGAGGAATGCTAACAGTACAGTACAAGTAATGCTGGTAGTGCTAAGGGTGATTTGTGGGCTAAGCGTAAGGTCATGGGACACACCATCGACCGTGGCTCTCGGTATTCACATCGGAGGCATGCATGCTCCGTAGGCAAGAATGGGATAATTACCGGGTGAAGCTCCTTGCCGTAGTGCGGATCAGGAGCTGCGGGTGAGAGAACGCGGTATCGAAGCGGATAAACTTGACCAAGTGCCGTAGACGGAGAGCACCACAAACTGCGAGCCAGCCTCGAGCGGCAAACTGTTTCGAAGGCAATGAAATTATTGGGTATGGGGTATGGGTATCATAATCCCTCCATTCCCACCTTCTGACAAAAAGTCAAGGGGGTCGATTCAATCTGTCCTCCATCATGTTACAATAAGGTCACAGGTATTGTTGCCTTGGCCATTGCCTGGCGCCCAGCTCCATATCCTGAAGAGCTCCATCAACCAGCAAGGCACGCATTGATATCCCAATTTCAGCAGTATGGTCAACTTTTTGTTTCCCGGCGCCGTGCCCACCCATTTGACAGACAGACCCGAAACATTCCATTCTTGACCACAGTGTCTCGCTTTCCTCTTGGTTCCATCTGAATTAAAGAGTGGTCTCGGTGACATTCTTCTCCTCCCACCTTTTGGACAATAGTATCGAATCGATGCTTGGAACATGACGAGAACGCTTGCAATGCACACGAAAAATCTCACAAAGTCTTGATGGTAGGAACACTCCTGTGGTGCTGTGACAGAATAGCATCAGTCGATCGAAGCAATAGGCCGCAGGATCATTTCTATCTTGTTTTGGCGGACGTTTCGACTTCCTGCATGAGATGAGATTCAATAAGATTCACCATTCCATGCTTGGGTCCCGGGAGCATAGGAGGCGTACTGCTGACTGACTTGACCGGGAGTGGGTGTGGGTGGGGCGTACTGGTTGGGTGCACTGAAATTCTTCTGTGTCACGCCGAACATGTCACCCTCAGGAGTGATGGGAGGAGTGTAGAGACCATGCTGGACCAGAGCAGAGAACTGTGGCTTCTGGGGTGTGGCGTAGGTCTGGAAATATTCAGGCCCAGAAGCTTTGATGGCTGCGGAAGGAGGAGTGACTTCGTATGTTGGCGTCAACGGAACCCGGGCAGTCGACATGGCAGCCTTGCGTGCAAGGAAGTCGGTGAGAACTCGAGAGACACCTGAGTAGCGAACCGATGCATACTTTCGCGACAAAATCCCAGATGGATCATGCACTTTCTGCAACAGTTCCATGACGGTGGTGCTGCAGAAGTGAGAAGCAAACTCATTGGAGCGAGCCTGGGGTCGACCCAGGATATGTCTTGCCAGGACGAGAGCCGACAGAGCAAGGGTATGTGACTGCTTCGACACAAAGTCTCTGTGGTAGAGGGCGATCTCGAGGATGTAGAGTGTCAAGCTTTCCGCCTCGGGGTCGTAGATGTTGTCCTTGACGGCCAAGCGCATGAACGCGTCAACGGTTGGGTGTCCGATTGTCCAGCCGAGGGTCGAAAGAACATGCCACTCCATCTGCAAGAACATGTCGTCATCGTAAAGCGAGCAGCACATCGACTTCAGCTCTTTGATCGTAGGGACCTTCTCTTTCTTGTCTCCGTACTTGGCAGCAATGAGGAGCGCTGCACACCCGACCAATTGGTAGTGGCGCTTGTAGACCACTCGCTTGGAGCAGTAACGATCGAGAAGGTTGATTGTCAGAAAGAGAGTCTCGGGTAGCAGTTGAAATGCCGTGTGGGCTTCCACCAAGAAGTCGAGGAGGTAAGGCCTCATGTACCATTGAATCTCAGTTTGAATGTCAATCGCATCGACATCGGGCACGGTCTCAGCCTGTACAGAAATGGTCAGCTCAGATCGACTAGAGTATAAGTGGAGGGGAACTCACGTCGATCTTCAACATGTGCTCAAGCATGTCTTGCTGATAGTCGTCGGCGTCTCTTCGCGACATTTCGGAAGCCATACGATGCTGTGTGTGCCTAGCAAGTTCCTTCGCGTGATCGACGTTCTTCACAACTTGACGACGGGGCTCATCAAAGACCTCGACGATGCCACTTTCGTAGCCACTGTCGTTCGAGCCGAACGAGGAGATTCTGTTGTTAAAAGCCATCTTGAGTTGGGGAGATGGTGACCAGGATGTGAGTTGAGAGTTGAGGTAGTGGCAGGTAAAACAGAGTGGACGGGCGGCAGTGAAGGTTAACGACGGGATAAAGTGAGTGACAGTCGTAGATCGGTGAATCTCTGAAAGAGTGAATGATCGGACGCAACTAAAATGAGTCGCGAGTCTGGAGGTGGCCAGGTACCAAGGAGTCAAAAAGATGTCTTTCTAGACAGAGGAAGCTGGAGCGTGCGTCCGACGGTTAGTACGGAGATGATTGGCTGTTGATATGGAGGTGGATTGCCAGAACATACCAAAAATGAGATGACGGCACTATGGCTCACCAATCCTTGTTACTAGGGATTACCACGAATGTCTCTTCATCTGGTCCAAGGATTGGAATGGCAAGCAAGATTAATTGCTCGTGCGCCGGGTAAGCAAAGGTCGAATGAACGCCTCCGCTTGGGGTGAGCTTGGTGCTCCGGACTGGAATGTGGACTTCTGGAAGGCCACAAAAGGATACCAGCTTTGCAGTGAGTCTGAAATGAGGTTAGCCGGGCAAGTGAAAGGGATAGGAAAAGTGCTCTGACCTTGGGATCTTGGCTGTACCGTGCCTGTTCTAGACGTCGGTGACCTTTTCGAATCTACTTAGAAATTTGTAGTCAGTGAACTGTCCATGTCTGTTGAAATGCCAATTGAAAATATGGGGTAATATCCCAGGAGACAATCACAAGCCAGTGCTTTCAGCTCATCGACGGGTTCCTGGCTGCTCGGGCATTCGATCCAGGACTGAACGTATAGATGACTGAGAGAGGCAGCGACCTCGAATTCCTTTCCCTTGCATCTTCGTTTGGGCCATGTCCTCCCTTTCAACTGATTAATGTCACGTAGACCCTCACTCAACGAAAGGAACTCCTTTCCCTCTCCCACATGTGATCACAGACTCGACGGCGGTATCCCTTCCTTCTCGAGATTGCAGCATGCTCCAAGCTTGCAGTGCCCCTTCTCTTCATCGTACCCGTACACAGACTCCAGTCTGTAGGCAAGTCTCCGTCGGCAGATCGAATGGTAGGCAGGGTGGGTCCACAAGAGGCAGCACCAATGGGGAGGACACTCATCCGTCGTTCAGGATGTGATGCTGTTGAACTTCGATCCTCTGGGAAGATGGTTGCTCGTATAGCAAAGCCGTCAAGCTGTACGGCATTCGATGTGTCGAAGGAGTGAAGGTGGGCTCATGGCTTTGCATTCGGGCATTTGCCCCCAAATCGACGGCTGCAGCTGATGAGAAGCTCTTACCTTGTGAAATTAGACCCGTGATTTTCTTGTTCAGAACCCCAAGGCAGAACGTTATCCGGAACGTTCTGCTGTAAACGAGTGCAGTGGGAAAGAGCAGTCTGGTGCGAGCTCAGGTGGTGAGCAGGGACGAGGCTCAGGAGGGATCGATTGGGCTGAGCGTGGGCGGAGAGTCGAGGACCAGCAAGATACTCAGCAAGTTGGCTATGTATCTTATTTGTCCAACGACAGGAGAGAAGAGGGAGGGTGAGGATAAAAGGACGAGGTCAAGGCCTCATGGAGAGAGGTTTGAGAAGGGACGGAGGTAGTGGATGGGAAGAAAGAAACAGGAGAAATGGCACTTTGAAGTTCTGAGATGAAGGAAGAGCAGTGAGTGGAGTAACCAGTGTACGAGACGGTTGGACTTGACGGCAATGATTGGGTGAAGACGCAGCCCAGACACGACTTGCAGGGATGCTGAAGAGGGCCACCAGGGAATCAGGGACGACGGCGAGGTAAGTTTGCAGCTTCTGCGGGTGTGCGGGTGACGCGACAGCCAGCCAGAGCGGGTTCACTATCAAAATGACATCCAGCCAGCCGCGAATTCACGAATCAACAGGTACCGTACCTCAAAGGTATCTTACGGACTAGTTATTTCAATGTTCAAGCCGTGTCAGATAGCCACCTCACTTCACACAGATCTTGTTTCTTTCAAGCAGGTCGCAGAACAGGCCCCCAGCATCTTGTGACCGCTATTGTGGCAGTCGTTCATTTGTGCGATGCCATCGATGGCCAGCAGGTCTCCGAACTTGGCCTCGGTCTCCTACAAGGCCGTTTCCAGGCATGCCTACAACGCCTGAAAGTTGACGTTTCCTTTAACCATGGTGACCCGGGTGTCTCTGTTCGCACCCCCATGATCTCCAACACTCTGTGGACTCCTTTCTTCTACACACCCTTTCACCTGAGAGCTGTGATACTGCACAACCTGTCGATTCACCTTCTCATCTCGAGTCCTGCTACGGTAATTTCCTTGACCCCTAATGCTGAGCCCTCCATTGCTACAGAAAGCGGTATGAACATGCAGCTACGTGAGCTTTCCATCAATCCTTGAAGCTGAATCAGATAGACTTTGTCGTCCTGCTTGGTTTTCGGGATACCCGTACGAGTACGAGCAGGTGTAAGTAATACTTCCCCGGTGACTTGCTACCGGTTGCCGTTCCTGTATTCTGTATGTAAAATCGTACAGGGCATAAGCACTGGTCGCGCGGCTGGCGATATGGACAGAGCGCGTCGAGGCGCGTCCATTGGTTTACTCTGGGGGCAGGTTCCTGGTTTTGAAGTTGTCCTAATGCAAGCCTGACGGAGCCACTTCTTGACCACGTCCGGGGCCACACTGACCGGCAAAATCGAGCGAATGTCATCGCTCGGGCAGGAACATCACCCGGAAAATGACACTGCGGAAGCGACAATTGACGTGAGATGTTCTGCACGTTATCCGGAGTTCTTTTCACTGCTGCTGGCGAGGAAATGAATTCCTTGATCGGCAGCAACTCAAAGCAGATCTTGCCCGAGTCTATCAAACGATCTGAGGCAGCAGACGAGCACAGCTTGATGCTGCACCACCTCTCCTCTGCCGGGTTGCACCTCGCCTCCAAATGTCCCCAGGATTGTGCAACGATGGCGCCAGGAACTAGCCTGGAAGGATCCCTGGTTCGCCTGCCATTCCCTGAGATCCAGAGATCTGCCCTACTCGACGAGTGACGGAGGACGGAGCGCTGTAAGTGGTTAGAGGCTTAGAGCCCGAGGTACTTTTCCCAGCCACCCTGAATGGTTCCAACCTTCCGCGGGAGTTCTACTTTCGGCGCCGCGTACACAGCCTATGGCGTGCAGGCTCTGCGACGAGCTACAGTACATTAACCATCCAGCCCTGCTCCTTATGGAAGGACTCATCTCTTCTCAAGCGAGTTGACGTCTGAGCCAAAGCGATAGAAGCTTCACCTCTTTTGGGTAATCAGATAGAAGCATCTGCAGATCTAATGCGATGAATGTTTGTTCGATCTATGTCCCAACACATTTTGGATGCATTCTTGCGCCTTCATCAAAGCAGTCTGATACATTGTCGGAGCGGCTGCAGCGTTGGTGCAACGTAACAGCGATCCAAACCCTCCACCGTCACTCTCCAACATGCAGTGTTACCACAGCTGCGGCTCCCTTGACATCACAAGGACAGGCCCGGCAAACACTCCGTGAGTTTTAGAACTGAAGTATTCCACATCTCCACAAAGTCATTTGAATTGTAGCTTGTCTTCTCGTAGGTTTTGCAGACGACGATCAAACATCCAAGCACACCCCACCTTGTCAGGAAACATGAAAAGGTTCGAAGAGACATGTGTATCGGAAATGATGCTGAGACAAACCGAGCACTGGACGCTCGAGATCGACTACGGTTCCAATGGATGGCACATCTTAGCTGGTCATAGGCCAGTGAGGCTGTAACTCAAAAAGGGCATATACAGTACGGAGTACGGGTACGGGGTATGCACGGGGAAAGATGGTACCTCTGGACTGCTGCTTTCTTGAGTGTGAGGCTTACAGTGCAGGTGATGCTTCATTTGCTCTATGAGTTACCCTGAGTCTATGCCATGGCTTGACCCCGAAACATTTCTCCCTGGTTACCTCGTAGAAGCCACACAATAATCCCCCTCGGTGAAACTGAAATTCTCCCCACAAAGGGAGCGGAGATAGCTGTCGTCGAGTTCCGAGATACTGAGACGCGCGACTGCGACGGGACACGCGACCGCAAATTGCGACGTACCTCGTACGAGAACTCGTTCTCGGAGAAGGTCGCTTAGACTGCTTGCATGACGCGTGCCGTGGATGAAGGTTTCGCTACAGCAGCTCCTTTGTCGGCGCCTGCGTCGGGCCCAATCGGCACGGTTATATCTAGGACGGGCACGGCGGGGTCCCTATTCTTGTCGACTTCATCAGTCTTCCCAATCTCACTCGGATCGAAACTGGTCCCGCGTCGCCACTCATGTCAAGCCCCATAAGATCTGCTGGAAATCGTTCGGTGCCCTGCAATGTCATAGTTACTTTGTGGTTTCAAATGGCTGTGAGGCATACATGCAGGGGTGCACTTTGGCTTCGAGCCGCAGTGTTTTACCCAGTACGGTGTGTACTATTCAAACCAATCCGACTCCGGGATCAGACGCTGTCACGACAGCCGCAGCTATGGACACATGGTGGTGGACTTGCTGGGGCACGGTGTCTCAAGATGAGAGCAATGAACTCTACTCCATAAGTAGAGGTCCTCTGAACTCAACAATGTGGCTGCTTTCGCGTCCAATTTCCTCTCGGACTATTGATGATACTTCCCTATAGCATTCAACTCCGTTTCTCCAAGAGATTGTCGACCTCCTGGAGGTTCTCTGAGTGATCAGATATGGTCGATGAGCACGCCGTCATGGGCTAAAGCGGCAAAGATGGACATTTCCATTGTTTGAATGGGTCCTTGCTCATCTTGATGGCGAAGTGGCAGGACCTATTTCGATCTCTTAGCAGACGATTTCGGTGTTTCCTCGTTGTCGGCGCGTTTCGTGACAGATCTGTTATGACGGGGGACTGCAAGAAAGACGTCCACTGCCGCCTCACTGTTGCTGCTAATCACGTAGGTCTATTCTATGGAACCTCATTCCAATGTGTCACACGAACCCCAGGATGTACTTCGTTACGGCTTCACAAAGGAGACAACAGAACGAAGGCTGAGACCCGAAGCACAATTCCATCGAAGGTCAAAAAGATCTCCCCTGCCAGGAATCGAACCTGGGTCCCGAGCGTGACAAGCTCGAATGATAACCACTACACCACAGAGGACCTGGGGTGAGAACTCATGTTCTAGCACCCTCAAATTTGTGGTTGATTTGTTGGCAAATAATTTGCGAGTTGAAAATATATGAGTTGAGTTACATTTATTGCAAGTGAATGGTGCGTGAGTGGACTGAGTCACAACGGCTCCGCTTTGAAGCAATGAAAAAAAAGAGAAGAAAAAATAGAACACCCGGCTATCCACTTCGATGCATTCAATCAGTCGGGCTCCGGCCCTTTTGTATCAAGGCAAGTCTGACATCCCGAAAAGAGCTCCTTTTCTGAAGCACCTGCGACCTACCGGGACGGAAGTTCTTGATACCACCATCAACAATCTATTCGTTTGAAACTTGGCTACGCCTCGTGCCACTTTGGTCGATCCCCAGAGCTGAGCTTGTTCTCTACACGTGCTTTGACGAACAGGAGGCAAACACGAACCGAAGTAGCGGAGGAAGAGACCGAGGCCCTTCACGGGCATAGCAGAGCTCTTGCACGAGAATGTTTGCGAACTCAACACATCTCGGTGGTCAGGTACATGGCGAGGAGTCAATTGACAGGTTGGACTTGAACCAGTCCATAGAAGGTAGCTCCCAAATAAGGGGAACACCTGAATAGCCTTGTCACCTTTCGAGAACGAACCTGCTCGTCTTAAAGAACACGGAACTTCATGAGTTTCCGACCTCTTTATCCTTCAGTAGACAACCGAGCGGATTCCTGTGCTGTTGTCAGTCCGCAAACCCAACCGTGCAGGTACTGGTCCTCCTGTCGCCGACGCGTGATTACTGAATCGCCAATCTCTTCTTGAAAAGGGACCGTTAACACTCGAAGCGCTCCAGAATTTGCCCTCAGGTCAAGCCTTTGTTTGGCATTTGAGTATTCTACAACCCCATGCTCACTCGTGTCACTGCGCGCTCACTCCGCGAAGCGTAGGATCTGATTGGTGGAATCACCCTCTTTCGTCCCTCCAAGACTTCGCGAGGCTGAATAGTTGTAAGTTCCCCTCGCTCTTCTTCACGATCAGTCTGATCCACATCACACTTTCTCAATATTGCAATACTATTGTCAGTAGCATTTAACCAAAAGTGCAATCTGAGTTCAGGTAGCATCTTGTTAAGACCGCGACGTCCTTGCGCTATAACATGTCGTAAAAACTGCTATATCAGGTTTAGTAAAGCCTCCCATCAAAAGTGCTCTCAATTTGCATTCAAGGGTTGGTCTATACTGTGCTACGATATTCCGATAACGCTGTTCCTCGTCTGCCGCTACACCGCAAGGCTATATGGCACATATTATTCAGCCATGCGCGAGTCGCCACACCCGTTGTACTGTCACGTCAAGATGGCAACCGACACCCTTCTAGTTCAGACTGTTAGTCGTTCGTTGTTGAATTGGAGACATGCATACCCACGAAAGCGTGCCCGACTGATATTCAACAATCATAAGACACCAGACGGTTGGGATGTTGCAATATCCCTCGAGTACGTTGCTGTCCTTTATCTTCCTGGGCTTTTCGCTTCAAGCAACCAGTTTAGCGCAAGGTAATGCAATATGCATCATAACCGCCGAAAGCCATCGGGCGATGTTAGACCACCCGCTCAGCGACACACTTCGCTGAGCTAGGCATACTCCGTACGTCGCCGAAACAATCCACAAGAGCGGCAGCGAAATCTTTTCTGGGCACGAATACTCAGCTGGCCTATATCAGGCAACTGGCGAGAAAACTCAAGACACCCTCGATGTTCAGGTTGAGGGTTTGCCATTGCATTCATTGGTTCTGATTCATTTGCGAAGAAGGGGGTTCTTGCAGTGAATCTCAATGGCCGTGATCGGATTAGAAAGTAGCTCTACACGAAAGGAGTCCATGAAGAATGGAACCAGTACGGATTGCGGACCGTGATTGCCGGAAAGAGGAAGTTCATGAATAGTTTCACTGCTCTGGATTCGCATGAAGATACAGTGACATCGAAGAAAACAGATTCAAGGTAATTCCTCGCCAGGATAGATAGGATGCCAGTCCTATCCCGCACCATCGTCATCATCCTCGTCTCCTGCCACTGCTGCTGCTCGGCCGCGCAGTCGTGCCCGCCGAGCCAGGAGTCAGCTTCCCCTTGGTCGCTTCCTCGGTCGCCAGCGCGGCCGCTCCCTTCTGTCCAACACCTTGTAGCTGATTCTTCTTTCCGACACCCACCTCCTTGGCATGCCCCGCTGTCGTCGGACTGTTCCAATAGTAGAGCACCTGCGCCGCGAGCACCGCGTTCAAGAAGAACCCGGCGATAAAGCCATACAGGATCAGCTGGTCGTCCACCTCTTGCAACGTGGTGTAGATGCGACTGAGACTGCCAAACAGGTAGTTGAACACCGCAAAGGCAGACAGCTGGCCCGTCCCGCCTTGTTGCCAAATCGCCAGGATCTGGGGTACTTTGCTTGCGATGCTCAACCCGCCGGCGCCGGCCTGCAAGGTCGTCATCTGCGCCTCCGTGACGAGCGTGTCGCTCACCATGAGCGCGTAAACAGCGCTTCCGACGGCGGCGACAAACGCTCCCGCGGCGGGCTTCTTGCCCGAATACGCCAGGATCAGCACGCTGATCACCACGTCTTGAATCGCGATGAGCGCCGTCTCGCCGTACGTGCTGAACGCAAAGCCTTTGCGCATGTTATATGCGAGCGTAATGACGAAACTGGCGGTCTCGAGGAGATAGCTGGTGAAACTGAGGCCCTCGCTCGATTGGGATTTGACGAGCTTGATGATCTGCGGCACTTTGACCACGGATGCGGCGGTGATGATGCCGATGCCTAGGGCCTTGGAGATGGCGAGGGAGACGCATTCGGGATGGGATGAGAAGTCGAGGTCGAGGAGGAGGGCCGAGTGGCATTTTTCGCCGAGGAGCGAGATGGCGAGGTCATTGACGGGGGCGGGCAGGTTACTGGTTATCGGGGACAGGTAGGGTTTCAAAGGATCGAGGACGAGGCTCTGAAGTTGGTCCATCCTGGGCGGTTGTGGTGGTGGCACGCTGTTGCAGTTCGATTGCGTAGAAAGTCAACAAGACGAGGCAGTCAGGCCAGGGTGTCAGAGGGAGCAAGTTCACGGTTGAAGCACGTGACCAGACAAGGGGTTTCAGCCTCGGTAGGAAACAGTACGTGGACGATTTTAAAGTGGACTATCGCTGTTATACATAAATAGTTCTTCTATGAATCCCTTGCTTGCTTCGCGCATTCTATGCCTTCTTCGAGATCTTGTTTCCCAAAGGCTCCGAGGCCTTGTTGGCTATTGCGAGGTGGTAGGTTGCCAGCTGCTCGGGGGTGAGCCGTGAAGGTGAGCCAGCAAATTTATCTTCCCCGTCGGCAGTTTTGGGGAAAGCAATCACGTCTCGTACACTGGTGCTGTTCGTCAACATAGTCATCAACCGATCGAAGCCCAACGCAAAACCAGCGTGCGGCGGACACCCAGCGCTCAGTGCGTCGAGTAGATGTTGAAAGTCGGTTTTGATCTGCCTTCCGGACATTCCGAGGACTTCGCTGAAGATGAAGCGCTGCGTAACTGGACAATGGATACGACAGGAACCGCCGCCCACCTCCACTCCGTTGATCACAAGATCATAGTGATCGCCGATGATCGATAAAGGTTCGTCCCTGAAGAGCCGGTGATTTAGATCTCGGCCGTGTTTGGGAGCCGTGAAAGGATGATGAGTCGAGCAAACTCTTGCTGTCTCATCTTGTCCTGGTTTTGACTCCTCTATCGGGGAGAAGAGAGGGAAATCTATGATCCATAGCGGTGAGAACCCAGAGGGAGCCGTGATCAAACCCTGTGATATGGCACTTTGATAGACATCGCGGCGGAGGTCACCCAGGACCGTGGAACCACCAGCGAATGGCTTGTCTTCGCGACTCCAGAAGATCAAGAGATCGCCAGGTTCGGGTTCGAACTCTTCTTCCACTCGAGCCGCTCCCTCGTGACCAAAGGTCGCCAGGCCATGCAATGGCTTAAGGGGATCGTAGACAGCCACCCCTGGTATTCGTGCTTCGTCAGTTGCGTACCTTGCCTTTGCCGACGCATCAAGGAATTCTTGGAAGAACTTCTGACTCTCCGCGGGTTCGGTGCCTTGCATGTCGATTTTAATCATCTCAACTATAGGGTCATCAAGCGACGTGATCATGCCTTTCGCATTGGGTGGCATCCAGCTATCAACTCTGCGGATTTTAGAGCCTAAACGAGTGTCAGGCTTGTCCGAGCCATACCGACTCATGGCATCGTCATATGTGAGCTGCGGAAAAGCCGGGCGTTTAGGATCTGAAACCGTTTCCTCGTTTTCAGAGAGGCTGGTTGAAGTAGGTGGCTGCAGTGATGCGATCCCTGGCACATTGGGCCACACCGCATCCAAGAGCAGAGCTTCCACGGTTTTCATGACATCAGTACTTCCTGCGAAAGCCATTTCGAGATCGAGCTATGGTATCAGTCAGCATTTTCGGCTGAGAGTATGCAGGCAGTGCTAGATACCTGAGTGAATTCGGGCTGTCTGTCAGCCCTGAGGTCTTCGTCTCGAAAACACCTGGCAAACTGGAAGTAACGGGGTAGTCCGGACGCCATCAGGACCTGTTTGTACTGCTGCGGGCTCTGCGGGAGTGCGTAAGCCAGCCCCTTTTTCCTCGTTGGGACAAGGAATTCTCGAGCACCTTCCGGCGTTGACTTAAACAGTATAGGTGTCTCAATCTCGTCAAAGTCGTGGTTCAGCATATGCTCACGTATCTTGCCGGAAAGCCGAGAGCGCAATCGGATGCGACGGCGAAGCTCTGAGTCTGTTCTAAACTGCACGTGGCGCAATTCTGGTGGGAAGACAGTCTCGCAAGTTGCAACGAGCCCGGGAGGAAATGCATTGAGCTTCATTAGATTATCTGCGCGAACTTCAACGTGAGAAATGAGATCCACAGGTCCAACGTATGGGTCCAGCATCTGAACTGTGTTTGGGTGCTTCAATGCTCCTTGCACATTCGACGTTTCCTGCCGTTCGCCTTTGTTCTTTCTCTGCTGCACTAACCGTCGGGCAATGGTACCTGATATTTTGACGGGTGTGTGCGGACGAATATTGCCTTGTTGATTTGTTATGTCCCTTGAGCCGTCGCCGTCTTCCGCCTCTTGATCGTCGATGAAGTGTCGTTCCTTTCTGGCATGCGGCAGGATGACCTGCACCGCGACTTCCAAACGAGGGTCCACCAGCTGGATAAATTCGAATCCTTTGACAGGTCTGACTGAGGTCACGTAACCATACAGGTCCACGTTCTCTGACTCGGGGTTGGTGGGTGAGGCGAGGGAGTCTGGATTGACCTGCCGCAGTCGATTCCATCCAGAGCTGCTTTCACCAGAAAATATCTGGCCCGAACGGCGAGATTGATTGAATCTCTTAAGATGGTTCGTGTAGAAGGTGCTCCGGGCCTCGTCGCGAGGAGCGGCCGACGTGGTCACGTATCTCTGTGCTGTGCATGATGTCCTTCGGCCGTGCCATTGCCGTGCGCGTATAAACCTCGAGATTTCGATATAGCTTTGACGCAATTGTAACGAGCGTGCGAGGGTGGCACGGAGCTCCATCAACTGATGATGCTCGGAGGTCAACGCGGTGATTATAGCTCTTGTATGGAAAGGTTCTGTTTACTTTGTCGAAATCCAAAGCATTGGCTTGGAGAAACCGGTTGAAATCCGGCACGTGAATGGTCAGCCATCACCACAAATTCATTTCCCCGTCACTTTACTCTTACTTTTCTTCTTCTTTTCTCTTCATCCCTCCAAGTTTTGAACAAGTAAGCCCATCTCCTCCAACACCTCCATCACGTCTTACTGACTAGTGTTAAATAGATGATGAAAGCCTAGCGTGTACCATATGATCTGTCCCTGCCTCGAGACCAGCAAGCTCTCTCTTCGGAGCTCAAGTGGCCTGCTGGTTGACGGGATTTGAGGACAATGAGATCGGCGTTCGGCACACCTATTCTTGTTACATACAACGAACGCGATGAAGGCATCTCTGACTCTCAATCTTGGAACGGAATCATATTGAATTTATGGTCTGCAAAAGAGTGGGGAAGAGGAAGTCCGTCACATTCATACTGGTAGAGCCTGTGCTTGGCTCAGTTGGTCGACTTGCTCGGCGCCGTGGGCACTGACTCGAAGGCCTCCTCAATAAACGCCTTCCATGCGGCAAGCGCGGCTGAGACGTCTTTGGTCGATGCTCCAAAGGCCACTCTCACATATCCTCGAACCGTTTGACTGTCGCCGAAGCACCTACTCACGGGACAGAGAAGAATGCCAGCCTGCTCGAGCAATTTCAAGCAGAATCCCTCGCTGTCGACCGGTTTTCCCATCTTGTGGAACTTCAGCATCGCAGTTGTACCGGCCTGTGGCTTGACCCAGGAGCATGCCCAGCTGTGTTCGTCCACGAAGGCCTGAACCAGGCCAAGGTTTGTTTGACACAATTTGATGTTCCTGGCTAACAGTGCATGGATGCATCTGTCGCTTAAAGCCTCCGCTGCGATCAGCTCGTCCAGGATCGAGGCTGAAGTGGACTTGAGGCGCCTGGTTTTCCTGCAAGACGCCATAATGCTCCTGTCCTTTGTCGCAATCCAACCAGCTCTTGTTCCTCCCAGACTGTACGCCTTGGCCACGGTGCCCGTCACCACAACTTTTCTATAGCCGAGATTGATCGTCGACGGTGGAAAGTCGTCGTCGGACGGCGATATCGAGTGAAACAGCGGTCGGTATGTCTCGTTCGCCATGACTAATATACCTTTATCTTCAGCCATTTCCATGAGTGCCTCGAGGACTGGTCTGGGAATGATTGCGCCTGTGGGGTCACAAGGGCTCTGTATTATTATCAACTTCGTGTTGTCTCTGACCAAAGTTTTAAGCTCATCAATATCAGGTCTCCACTTCTTCGCTGGCTCAGCATTCCACTTGGTGACCTCTGCACCCAACGAAGCTGGAATCTTGAACAGAAGTTCATCGACGGGGTGCTGGCAGATGACGTGGTCTCCTTGTGCCAGCAGCGCCGACAGCACTGTATAGTCAGCGGCAGAGCCACCATTGGTGACTAGGATGTCATCTGCTGTCACTCCGCCAGACCGCGCCGAGTATAAGGCTGCCAGGTTCTTGCGCAGTTCAGTATACCCTGAGCTAGAAACACTCTCCTCTAGTTTTAGTGTATTCAATGACAGATGTTCTTCAGAGCCTCGCCTGTCTTCGGATATCTCTAGGAGATCCGAGATAGAGATGTTCGTAGTGCCTGGGGAAAAAAGGTCGTGCTTAGTGGAAGGAAGATATTTCTCTGCCCACTTGATGTGGAAGACCCTGTCAGCCATGCTGTACAGTTATAGACAACATATTCGGTCACTTACCTCGAGCAGCTCCAGTTCTGCGGCTGCTGTCATATTCGTTTTACGCTTCCTTAGCCAGCAACGCCCTCTGTCACACTGTCTACGCACGGTGTTCGGAGTCCTGCTGGTCAAATTTGCTGGCGGGCAGACGATGGTGCGGAGTAGCAGACAATTCCCCCACCCACGCAGCTGAGCCAGTCTGGTCGAATGGTCGAACGCCTCGGCGACGGTGCATGTGGCTGGAGCCCCAGCCTGTCTGCTCGTATCTCGTATGTTGTTTGGCTAAATGGTGGCACCTCGTCGGAGAGCCGTGACGATTGGTTCTGATTGTTGGCGCCTAACTGGATCAAGTTCGGCTTGCGGGCAACAGCCGTTTAAGCACTGGCTGCGCTGGGGAAGATGCTGGGATACTTGGTGACTGCGACATTCGACCTTCCGATTCAGTTCCCATATGTGTCCCGTGGCATGGTGTGATCTCTATCTCTAAACCGCAATCTCCAGGCTATTTTCCATGCTCACTCAGATCTTCAGGACCAGCTTTCCTTAACTCCTCCGTCCTTTAGTACCTGCCAGATCGCTGTCTCCCGGTTCTGCACGTGTCGGCGATTCACTGACGACCGAACACTCTACCCATGTACCTCAATGCCCTCGCGGCGGCCTTCGTGCTTGTCTCCCCAATATGGGTGACCGCAGCTTACCGCAACGACACATCTGCGGCCTTGATGCAAGATCCTTTTCTGGAGCTGGTTGACGGATGTCCTCCATGCCCTCGATGCTTCGATTGCCACTACGACGAGTTCAAATGCCTGCAGTTCGCCAGCTGCGGTAGCGTCAATGGGAAATGTCTCTGTCCTCCTGGGTTCGGTGGCGACGACTGCGCAGAGCCTTTGTGCGGTTCCTTAGCAGATGGCAAGAATCGGTCACCGCGGAAGGGCGACAAGTGTGACTGCAAGGAGGGGTGGGAAGGGATCAACTGCAACGTGTGCACCTCGGACCAAGCTTGTAATGCTTTGATGCCCTTGGGTGAAGGGGGTGTGTGCTACAAGAAGGGCGTCCTTGTCCAAGAGAACTTCCAGATGTGCAACGTTACCAACAAGGCCATTCTGGACCAGATCGACCCCAGGATACCCCAGGTCACCTTTTCTTGCAATGCCGAGGCAGCCACCTGCAACTTCCAGTTCTGGGTCGATCAGAAGGAGTCGTTCTATTGCGCTCTCGACAACTGTACCTCTAGCTATCAGGATACCAATGTTCGCAACACCACGAAATACACTTGCCAGAACATCAATTGTTCATGCATCGCGGATCGATTCCTTTGTGGTGAGGATGGTTCGGTCAATATCGACGAGTTTCTCGAGGAAGAGATCAAGGGACCTGCCTCGTTCTATACCCAGCATACCTATGGCGGGAGCTCCAAAGATGGTAGCAGATTCGAAGAGCCTGCGATGAACAACCTGATTTCTATGATCTTTGGTGACGAGTACATTTCCTTACAATGCAGATCAGGAGAATGCTTGTATGAGACTGATGTGCCTGGGTTCACAAGACCCATCAAGGAGATCAACACCCCTTTAATCGCTGGCGTTATCGCAGGTTGCGCCTTGTTCGTGGTTGCTATTACGCTCATAGCATGGTACCTATCACACAGGCGAGCGCTCAAACGATGGGGGGCTATCCGACTTGGCGAAGGCACGGAAGATGATGCTGCAGCATCAATGATCAACCATACTCCTATGGCTTTGCAGTTCGAAAATGTATCCTACGGCCTCAAAGGGAAAGAAATTCTGTCTGGCATATCTGGCATTGCTCATCCCGGCCAGATCACTGCCATCATGGGTGCTTCAGGTGCTGGTAAATCCACATTCCTTGACATTCTGGCTCGCAAGAACAAGCGCGGGGCGGTCGTGGGCAACATGTACGTCAATGGCGAGAAGATCCTGGATGCCGAGTATCGAAATGTCATCGGATACGTCGACCAGGAAGATACCCTGCTGCCGACTTTGACTGTTCATGAAACCATCTTGACGAGTGCACTCTTGAGATTGCCTGCAGATATGGGTATTTCGGTCAAGGAACAACGCGTTATCGAGGTCATGCAGCAACTCGGGATCTATCATATCAAAGATCAAATCATCGGGTCAGCAGAAGGGAATGGTCGAGGCATCTCCGGCGGCGAGAAACGAAGAGTGGGTATTGCTTGTGAGCTCGTCACAAGCCCGAGCATCCTATTCTTGGACGAACCGACCAGCGGTCTAGATGCCTTCAATGCTTTCAACGTTGTGGAATGCTTGGTCACTCTGGCTAAGACGTACAACCGAACCGTAGTCTTCACGATACATCAGCCCCGCTCGAACATCGTCGCACTGTTCGACCAGTTGATTCTCCTCGCCAAAGGTAAAACCGTCTACTCCGGGCCTTTCTCGAGCTGTCAGTCATATTTCGATCACATCGGATACTCTTGTCCGCCTGGGTTCAACATCGCAGACTATCTTGTGGATCTGACAATGCATGCTAGTCTGCCACGGTCTCCGGTGTTTGAAGATGTGCCGAGAGATTTGTTGGATCGAGATGCCCCGGGAACCGAGTCAAGCAGCACAAGGGCCGTCAAGTCAATTGCCAGCGTGTCGAACGTCAGCGTCGAAAGTCCTCGGGAGCCATCACTACGGATAAAACCGAAACGTCGTATTTCCTTGAAACAAAAGCAAGACCGCCAATTGTTCACCCGGAAAAAAGCTACTGGAAATGAGACTCCACCAACACCAAAGACTGACGATGAAGACACCATAATTGGCAAAGCAACAGGCAGCATGCGAAGCTGGTTGCAGATGTCAAGGAGAGACGGGTCGAATCCGCCACCGCTGCCGGAAGATCCTGATGACCTACCACCCGATGCCAACACAGATCTCGACATACTGGTCACAAATTTCAAGAACTCAGACGTGGCTCAGGCGATTCACGACGAGATTGCGTCGTCGATACAAGCAGCATCAGCCGCAAACGGCCATAGTAGTGGAAGTGCTGTTGTTGAACCGGTCACAGGCTCCATCAAAGGTTTCCGGCGCGTGAGCCTTCCACGACAATTCTTGATTCTGTCTAAACGGACATGGCGGAATCTATATCGAAACCCGATCCTTATGTTGACCCACTATGCTGTCGCTATTCTGCTAGCGGTGTTATCAGGTTGGCTCTTCTACGGTATCACCGACGACATTGGAGGCTTCCAGAACCGACTTGGACTCTTTTTCTTTCTATTGGCACTATTCGGTTTCAGTGCGCTGACCAGCTTGAACGTGTTCAGCGCGGAGCGGCTGATCTTCGTCCGGGAACGAGCCAACGGATACTACCACCCCCTTACATACTACGCTGCGAAGCTCATGTTCGACATTGTTCCGCTCAGGTTGATCCCCCCAATCATAATGGGCATAATCCTCTATCCGATGTGTGGACTGTTGCCGAAGTGGGGCGTCTTCTTTACCTTTATACTCGTGCTGGTCTTGTTCAATTTGGCCGCAGCGGCTATCTGCTTAACGATTGGCATCGTGTTTAAAGACGGGGCTGTGGCCAATCTGATCGGTAGTTTGGTAATGCTGTTCAGCCTGTTGTTTGCTGGCCTGCTTCTCAATCTCAATCACGATACGGTCCAGCAGGCGGCCCAATGGCTACAAATGGTGAGCATTCTGTCCCGTGGCAAACGACGTCTGCTAACCCGACACAGTTGTCCATCTTTCATTATGGCTACGAAGCTCTTATCGTCAACGAGGTCGCCAAGCTACGTCTCAAGGACCACCGGTACGGGCTGGACATAGAAGTCCCCGGAGCCAGTATTTTGAGCGCCTTCGGCTTCGACAATCTGGCATTGTGGAAGGACGTCATCGGCCTTGGAGTCTTTGCCGGGGCCTTCATCATCATTGCCTATATCGCAATGCATTTCCTGCTTGTTGAAAAGAGATAGTAGAGGTAATGGGTGATGTCCTCACGACGTTTTGGTGCCATGTCTATCTATGCTCGCATCCGGGGAGTTCTTGTGTATAGAAAGGATGGACAATGGGTTGCGGCTGTGACATATATATATCGAGAGTAATATAACCGGTGTTGACGGCTGGTCCTACCACTGCAATGGTGCCTGTCTGTGCCCAGGCTTGTCCTCCGTCTGTTCGCAACCGTAAGACGACTTCCCCTGCTTGTGTGGGGTGACCGATCAACCTCGGAACCGTGCGTCTCGAAACCAGGGTACGAGACGCAAGCCACCCCGATCTCGGAGACGGTGAATTTGCGGGGATGTCATACGAATCAATCCTTAAAATTGCTTCTAGCTCTCCCGTGTTCGCAAGAGCTTGAAGGTCTCAAGAGAGTCTGAACTGGCATTGTGCCAGTGCCCGAGTCCCAAACTATTCGACGCTTTCATCGCTGGCCATGGCTACAGCTGTACGCAGCTGCCCGAGATACGTCGCCAGGGTGCCAGCTCGCAATGTTCATCTCGGAACCCAGTCCCGTAGCTTCTCATGTACCCGGTCGAGAAGCTCAGCATCTGTCGACCCGAAAGCAGTGGCAGAAGCCTTTCTAAGCAAGTTTTCCAAGGGCCAGACATTTGTGCGCAAGCAACTGCTAGATGCCAACCAACTACGACTTTTCTCCCTTACGCTGAATCGACCATATTTATGGCCTGGGAGCTCCGTACGACCATTGAAGACGCTCGAGGAGGTGGAACCACGGGAGGGTTCGCCTTTACCGCCGGCGTACCACTTGTGCTATTTCACGCCCGCGCAGCTACCAGGCATTTTGGGGCAAGACGGCACGGATGCCAGCTTCAATCCCAACGCACCGTTTACGAGACGGATGTGGGCGGGCGGGTCATTCCACTGGCCGGGTGCTGATCCCAACAAGTGTCGTCAGCACGGGGGACAGGCGCTGCTCCGAGTTGGCGACACCGTCACAGAAGTCACTAGATTGCTAAGCTGCGAGCCCAAGGTTATCGGCAAAACGGG